ACTTCATGATCTTCTACATTGTGACCATGGTGGTGATGACAATCATCGTGGCTTTCATCCTGGACGCTTTTGTCTTCCGCATGAACTACACTCGGAAGAACCAGGATTCAGAAGGTCAGAACTGAGGCCTGGCTGACCTGCAGCCTTGTGTCTTCTCCCCCTGGTACTTTGTCCCTAGGAGAAAATGGGATTGGCCAGGAAAAAAACAGATTTTTTTTTTTTTTTTTTTTTTTTTACCTGACATCCTGAGCTAATTCTTTTGCTTGTTGTACTTTTGCTCGAGCTTGATCTTTGTGTGATATTTCTGTCTTGTCTTTGTGCTCTGCCCCTCATCTCTCCCCCAGAATTCCCCAAAAAATCATGTGTGGGTGTATTTATGTTGGGTTTTTGTATGTCTGTATGTTTGTGTGCACACATACATACAGACTTCAACCACTTGAGCCATTTCAACCAAATTCTTTGAGAATAGGAAGTTCATGGCCATTTTATAGGAAGTCCATTTCATGCAAGACTTCTAGGAAACATTGCAGCTATCGTGTAGCAAAGTTCAGTGAGGGGCCTGACAGGAAGGGAAGGTTGATAATTTTTTTAAACCAATTTCCCTTCCTCACTAATGCACTCACTGGTGGCAGGATGTGTCTCCAAGGTGATTTGCCAGCACTTGTGCCATGACCTGGAGGACAACAGACACTGCCTATCCAGTTCTTCCCACATTCTCTGGTTGTAGTTAGGCTGCTGACTCTGTGCTGGTTTTGGACATGCCTTTTCCTCTAGGAACTGGCAGAGACTGGGCTCTGCACCCCCATCATCATTTACTCACTGTCCTTTTCCTCCTGAGCTGGGGGGTCTGGAGCTGCAGGCACCTTCCTGACCTGCTAATTCAGGTGCCAAAGCCACACTAATGGCTCACAGCCCTTCTCCTGCTGTTCCTTCAGGTGAAGGCCCCACTCCCCTGGGTTTTTAGGAGCCAGAAGATCAAATCTGTGTGGCACAGGAGCTGTTAATTAGGGAAACACTTGTGATCCTTCCTGCACCCAGTTTCAAGTGTGCAGTGAAAGACATTGGTTAGCCCTGGACTCCCAAGCTCTCTTAGGCAAGTGAAGGTCAAAAGGCAGAAACTCTTATGTGATTATTTGATTTCTTAACTTAGAGGCCAGCAAAAAAGCTACAAGATTTTTTTTTTTTTTTTAAGATACCAAGGAGCCTGATGAGAATTGTTTGAGTCAGAAGGTTTGCTGGCCCTACTCACTAGTTAACTTTGTCCCTGCCTTGTTGGGGGTTGAACATATCCATGTTCTAGTCACAAAGGCTGGTACAGACTGTACCTGACCTCTGGCTTGGTCCTGTGAGCTTTAGGCTTTGCCTTCCAGGGTTATGGTAGCAGCTGTTGAAGCAATGCTCATCTGGGTGACTTTTTTTTCTCCTCTTTCTGTTTCTTGCCTCTGCAGAAGATAATGGCATTGTGCTGGAGAAGGAGATCTCCAAGGAGGAGGTGATTGGCATAATTGAGCTGTACAAGAGGACTTCAGCTGCCACTGAAACAGCTCAGCTGCAGAAGATCGTGTTGCAGATGGACAAATATGGGGTAAGAGGAAACACTGTGAGTTCTCACCTCCAGGAGAGGGAGGTGTGCCAGGGCCACTGTGTCTGTCTGGAGAAAGAAGATCCACCTGCCTGTGTAGTGTTCAGGGCTGAGCTGCTGGAGGAACTCTGCAGCATCACAAAATTTTGCTGCTCTGGAAAAGCAGCAGCTGCTCCTTGAATAGCCTTGACAAAGGCTGGTCCCTGCTGCCTGGAAACTTCCCTAAGAGCTGTCCTGGCCCTGCTGACTGGGAAAAAAAGCATATTTCTGTTTCCTCTAAGGAAGCCACTATCTCATAATTCTCCTGCTCGTCTCTCTGTGCCATCATTCACTGAAGCTTGGACAGTCCTGGAACATTATGCAGCAGCATGATGGCATTGATTCCAGATCCTTCCTTTCTCCATGGCACTGCTTGTGCTTCCATTCTAAAACATTCTAAATTGGGAAAATGAGCTCTTGTCTCAGAAGTGTTGTCTCATGCATCTGGGAAGAGTTAAAGTGGTTGTTTCAAAATGGCCCTTGTAGCCCTGTGTCACCGTGACACAGGGCAGGTGCTGCAGCCTCTCAGGTGACAACAGAACGAGCCTGGGGTGGTCTGAGCTCATCAGGGGGTGATGGGTGTCCACAGGAAGGATGCTTGAACTTCCAGGACAGATCCAGCTGCTCAGTGACTGATGAAAGTCTTTTTTGGTGTCTCCTCCTCCCTGCCCCACCTCTCTAGCAAATGTCCACAGTGTTTCTGGGACGCAGGTCGAGGACCAAGAGTGACCTGAGTATGAAGATGTACGAGGAGGAGATACAGGTATGTGGGCCTGAGCTGGAGCTGCCACCAAGTCTGTGCCGAGAGCATTCTCTGGAATAACAACCCATTCTTTCAAGCCCTGGGGGCTGCTTTCCTCTGAGCCCAGGGGTTTGTTAAACCACAGAGCACATCAGAGCTCCTCAGGGGGTGCAGCTGTGTCAGTGACCACGCTGGGGGTGTGCACAGGCACTGCTGCTTTGCTGAGCTGCCCTGGGCTCCCCAGGTGTCTGCTGGGGCTGTCAGCACAGTTTGGTGCTGCCTGGAGCTCTTAAACCTCTGGAATGTAGCTGTGTTTGAGCTTAGGCGTGTCTGTCTGACACTGAAACCAAGGCTGGCTTGTCCCAGGCAGGCCTGCCTGGTTTGCAGGCTGAGCAAGATGGGAGACAAGTAAATCAGCAGATTCCTTGGATTTTTTGCACCTTCCTGCCTGTGCCATCTGTGGTCAGGAGCTTTCTGCCATGGGTTTGGTCACTGCCAAAGGTAGCTGAAGGTCGTGGGCTAATGTAATGATTAGTGCTGAAAAAATCAATCTTATAATCGTTTGAATCTGTCCTTTGCCCCCAGAGCAGACAGACTGGGGATGAATCTTGAGTCTCCCTAAGGAAAATGCACATTATTTACCATGGGGCTGGGTCACCTGCAGAGAAACCTCCTGCTTATTGTGCTTGGTCTGTGACATCCTGGAACCCCCTGGGTGCTGCCCAGCACCAGGAGCTGCACTGCAAGTCCCAGACATGGTGGGAACAGCCATCCTCGAGCCCTGGGTGTTCAGGAGGGACATCCTGGGGGTGGGAACTTTCCTTGGGCTGTGGCTGGCAAGGTCTCAGTGCATCCACCACAGGCATGCTGCAGCTAGCTGGGTTGTTCCAGGAGGTTAGGCTGTACCCAGGGCTTTGGAAAGAGCCCTCTGTGCTTGAAAAAAACATCCCTCAATGGCAGTGACAGCAGGCTCTGCCCTTTTGGGGTGTGTGGGGCACAGCCTGACCCCTGCCTGTTTACTCCCCTGCTGCAGGAATGGTATGAAGAGCACTCCAGGAAGGAGGAATCTCAGACACCACTGCAAGAGCCTGCATCTGCTTCCAGCAGCTCTCTGAAGCCCCTGAGCCTCCGGCAGCGCTCCCAGACTGTCATTTAGGCCTAGCTAACGCGAGCCACCTTCTATGCAATAACCTAGAGTATTCCTCCCCAGCCTGTATTTTGGGAGGGTGTACATAGATCTGTCAGTGTACCAGTGTAGGGATCAAATCTTGCCCCCAGCAGTGGTTGCTGAGAAGCCAGAGGCCCAGGGGCTCAGGGGAAGGCTGCTGCACACAGATTGAGCGTGATACCCGTGCTCAATCCGGGCAGAACAGAGCCCTTGTCCCTCTGAGCCCCTTCCCAGGCTCCAGCTGCTGCTGCTGCTTGTCTTACCACTAACAGACCTTGGGGAAAGGGATGTGTAATCCATTAACAGCAGGGAATTGGCTGAAGTCATCTGCTTAACAGTAAAACTTCAGCCCTTTTGGAAGATCCCTGTTGCTCAAAGGGTACCATTAACCTAGGGACAAAAGAGCAGGGAGTGGGTTTTTGTTTCTGCTCCTCCTTCCTTGTGCAAAGAAAGGGGAGGTGGTGTGGAATCTCAGCACTTTTGGAAGGGCAGCCTGCCCTCCCCCTCCTTTTTGGCACACCTAGATGCACTCCCTGTAGCAGCTCCAGCTCTGATTACTGAATTTTGCTGTCCCCAAGTAGATCTGAGGCTGAAGTGAGGGTCAGCACCCTATCATGCTATGACCATAGGTGGGGCAGAGCTTTAGAGACCCTGTCTCTGCTGTGTCTGCATCACTGCTGGTCAGCCCTGCCCGTGGCACTGCCTGGGCTTGGGGTCACCTCTGCAAACCCCAGAGCTCCTGTCCCTGTTCAGAGAGGGGCATTCTGCAGGCTGACGTGGCTGTTGGGCTCTGCCACTTGGCCACCTGCTCTGTGAAACCTCTGTGGCTGCTCCTTAGCTGGGATAAATGACTGGGAAGAGGAGTGGAAGGTTTTGCAGCTCCAAGTCTGGCTTTTTTCTGCCTGGCTCTGGGTTAAGGGGAGCTCCTGGGCATCACGCAGTCCTGCTGGTCAGTCCTCATTCCAGCTGAGCAAGTCCCAGCACAGAATGGGGCTCCTCCCTTGCAGGAATGTTTCTCAGGCTGGAAAAGTTCAGCTCAGTCAGGTGTTGGGAAGATCCACTGAAGAATTCCACTGTTCTCCTGGATTTTGGATGCAGGAGGAATGTGGAAGACAAGGATTCTTCTCACCTGTCTGCTTTTCTGCACCTGAGAGCTGAGGGATGAGGAGGAAGTGGGACAAGGGTTCCCTTCCCAGCTCTGCCACGTCTGTGGGATTGTGGCAGTTGTGATCCTTTGAACCTGTCTCTCCAAGTCTCTCTTTCCCTGTCAGCACTGGAAGTTCTGAGGGCTGGAAGTCCCTGGCAGCTGGGAGGTTCCCTCGCCTCTTGCTCAGGTTCTGACTAAGTGGAGCTTCCTGAGCACCTATTTTCCAGGTGCAGCAGGCAGTGGGAGATCTGTGTCCCTATCCCTTTGTCCCACATGCCTGTCTTTCCTTGGTGGCCTCACCTCGTGGCACAAGGACAGCAGGACAGGGCTGATCCTACCCGGGCAGCTCAGGAGCATTTCCTGGCTGGGTGAGACTTCCAGAGGGAGGCAAGACAGAGCTGCTTCTGGAAATCTCTCCCTCCATGGCACGGTGGGAGCGCTTGGAAGGAGTGGGAGAGCAGCACACACGCACCAGTGGCTGCTCCCAACCCTTGCCAGACTCCCTGGGTGCCTCACGGCAACTCTTTGTTTTCTTTCTGGATACTTGCAGGTATGAAACTACTTCTGAGCTGACCCATGAAGGACCTTAAAGGGCTGTTTTCCAAACCATAAATTCAACCACAAATTAAGGAGCAGTGCACTTGCTCTGCGTGGAGTTGCAGCCCGGGAGGTTTATCCAGCTTAGTCCTGGGCCTGCAGGAGATGGTCTTGATTGTGCTTTAAGTTGTGGGCAGAATGAATGAGCATTATGAAGGTTACTGGGGAAAAAAATGTGGCTGTGGTTAATCTCCACATTCCCCTACAGCTGATTTCTCCTGGCAGGGCTATCAGTGACTTTTTTTTTTTTCTTTTTGGGGGTTTTTTCTGGGTGTGAAAGGAGCTGTGGCTTTAAGCTGTGTTGAGGAAGGCACGGAGGGCTGATCATGCAATAAAGGGCTCCCTGGAGGGCTGGGGGTCAGGGTGCTGCCTCCAAGGTGTTGATCCTCCCCCACATACCCGCTGTGTTCATTATTTTTGTAAAACCAAGGAGGGCAGCAGGAGTTTGCTTCTTTCTTACGACTTTGGAAGGAAACAAAGTTTGAGTACGGGGCATCCCCTTCTATTTATCCTCCTCTCCCTCCCCCCACCCACAGACTGACGACAGAGACAATCATTTTGTAGGGAGCACGGGAGGAAGCACTGCAGGATTTTGTATGCTGGCGTTTTGTTTATAAAAAAACCCGATTTTATGGACGTGTCTGTCAGATGTTCTCTAGATTTTTTTCAGGCGCACTAATAAAGAGCATCCTCGGCTTCGTAAAGGCAGCAGCTTCCTTTCCTCCTTCCCCTGTTATTCCAGAGGTGGGTTTGGCCAAGCTGGAGCATTTCCAGTGTTTGAAGAGGAGCCTGCCTGCCCTCTCTGGTAGCAAGTGCTTGTGTTGGGAATATTTTGCTGCTCCACATTCCTGTTCCTGGACATTACAAAGCCTGCCTTCCCTTCTGCCTTCCCCCTGCCAGCTTTTCCCCTAAACACCAACGCTTTCAAAGGCAGGTTTTTAGGGCTGCCTCGGTGCAGCGTTGAGGCCAGAAGGGGTGTTTGACCCTGCACCTCTGTCCTGGGACCTTGGCCAGGTTTGGATTGCTTTAGCCCTGCCTGTGGCAGGAACTGGGCGTTGTGTCCCAGCTGGTTCTGGCAGCTGCCGTGGCAAGACCAGGGCAGAGCAAATGGCTGCGGGCACAGGGAGTGTTATTTTTTTTTGTGAAAGCTGCTGGTATCTGTTAGAAAAAGGAGAAATGCTTCAGGCCCAGGAGGAAAGAAGGAGGAACCAGGTCTGACCGTTGTGGTGTTTGCTCAACACCCCCTTCTCCCCTGGGGCAGGGATGTGGGTGTCCCTCTGGGGTGATCATTTGCTTTCCAGCCTGTATCCCATGGACCTTCCAGCTGGGAGCAGAGCCACCAGCCCAGCCCTCCATGCTGCTGGCACTGTGGGATTCCCTGTCCCCAGGGACTGAGCTGTGCTGACCCCGTTTCCAGTGTGGCAGCACGTGCCTGCTCTGGGGACATCAGCTACTGGAAACCACTTCCCCACTCCCTCAGGAAAAGCCACTCTGGGTGTCCCAGGGCCCTCTGCCCTCCAAGGCTCTGTGCTGAGTAAGGGCTGAGTCAGGGCAGCAGAGAGCAGGAGGAATGGCCTTTGCAACAGGCAAAAGTCAAGGTCGGGTTTGTGTTTGCGTTTTTTTTTTTTTTTTTTTATTGCAGTTTTTACAGTGCCTAAATCTTGTCCTGCCAGAGGTCAACACTGTCTGTGGAAACCTCCAAGTCCTTTCCTACAGCTCTGCCCACCCCAGGAGGAGGAGAGAAGTAGGATTTGAAACTCAGGTTGAAAAACATTACTAAAAAAAGCAGGGGAAACCAGCCTCCCTTGGTTTGGTGTTTGTTTTTCCCTCAGGCTTTGCTTGCACCACAGCCAGTGCGTCCCTGGAGCACCGTGTCCCCTGTGTGCCCACGGTGCCATCAGGGACAGCCCTTCCAAGGACAGATGTGTGCCAGGGCTGTGGCAGTGCCACCCTGCCCCAGAGCATGGCATGGAGGAGGCAGAACTCCCCCGCTGTGCCCCTGAGCTGGTGCTTCCCCACACACAGCTGAGGTTTGGGTGCTGCTCCTGCCGGGGTTCCCTAAATGTCACAGCTCGGAGAGAGTGAGGACAGGCCGTGGGCACTGCCAGCTCCGTCCCCAGGGGCAGCAGGAGCTGAGGGCTGGGTGGCACCTCCAGCAGCGCGGGGAGGTGGCGGTGCCATTGTCCCCCGGCAGGGACAGGCTGTGTGGGGAGGCAGAGCGAGCTGCGGGGCCGCTCAGGGCGTGGGGAAGTGGATGACCCTGAACTCGGTGAGCAGGGCCAGGCACAGGAACAGCAGGTAGTAGGCGATGAGGCAGAGCCCGTAGGCCTTTCCCAGCTGGAAGCACTGCGCTGGCACCGTCACCAGGGAGAATGCCAGGCTCAGCCCCAGCGCCCCGGCCAGCACCCACACCAGCGAGCTGTCCGGCTCCAGCTGTGGGGACGGGAGGTGATGTGGGGTGACACCGGGTCCTGCTGCCAGCCCGGCCTGCGTCCCCGTGCCACCACAGCCTTACCTTCACCAGCGGCTGGCTGCTGCTCATCTGCAGCAGGCAGCCCAGCCCCACGCCGACCAGGATGTCTGCAGCATGTTCAGGACGGACACACGGCACAGGGACAGCTCGAGGGGGCAACAGCACCGAGCCCATCCCTCTGCCCCACATCCTCCTCCTTCCTGCACCCCCTGGCTGAAGCGTTCTCCCTCTGTGCTGAACACAACCCTGAGCACTCCAGGAGAGGCTTCACCCAAAACCCACCGGAGCGAGGCACAGACCCTTCCCCTCCTTCCCTTTTGGCAAATCCCAAATCTGCCACGCTTCTGCCCAAACTCCTGCCCAGCTGGGGCAGCTGTGGGGACGTGGGGGTGCTGCTGGCTGTGTCTCTGCCCCTCCCCAATCCCTCCGTGCCCGTGCCCTGGGGGAACACTGCAGGGTTGGATCCCGGGATGGATCCCAGCTGCTCTCAGGGATCCCGCAGCACAAGGGGCTCTCCCTGGGCACCTCGGGCAGCTCCTGCCCCACGTGCCAGCGGCTGGCCCTGGCATGCACAGGATACTGAAGATGATGCCCCCGAAGCAGGCGGAGAAGGCCATGCGGGGATAGCCCTGCCGGGCCATGGTGAGGTCGGAGAAGGTGTCTGTGGAGGGACAAAAGGAGACCTTGGCCATGGCAGGGGGACCCCAGGGCGTGCCAGGGGGGCACTGGGAGCAGCAGAGCCCTCACCCCCGATGCTGTTGCCCCAGGCCAGCAGTGTGAGGCCCAGCACGGTGTTGCTGAGCTGGAAGATGATGCCCAGCGTGCGCAGGATGTTCACCAGCTCCGTGGCCGCGGCGTTGATCCACATGGTACTGGCCAAAAACCCAAGGAAGGCAAACACCTGACAGGAAGAGGAGCGAGCTGGTCCCTGTGTGCATCCCACAGGACCCTGCACACCTCCTGGCATCCCTCCTGGGACATTGGGAACTGGGAGAGAGCTCCAGCTTCCTGCTCTGCCCCAGGACCCTCAGCCCAGTCTGGAGCAGGCTGTGCCAGTCCCTGGCGGGCGTTCAGGGCTGGGGGACACCTTACACAGTGGTACTTGGGGGGCTCCTCATTGCTTGTGGTGATGAAGATGATGAGGGCCAGGGCAGAGGCAACCAGTGTGACCAGTGCCCAGACTGGGAAGACGCCCTGGATCTGGTACAGCCCATCTGCACATGGTGGGGAGAGGAGGGACAGAGAGGCTGGAACAGGACCCCACCAGGCTTGAGGTGGACGTAAAGCCTTGTCACCTAATGCCACCTCTGCCCTACACCCTTCACAGAGCTGCTCCCCTCCATGCCTCAGTTTCCCAGGCAGGCCAGGCCTGCTCCATTTTCCCTCATGACCTGGATTCTGGGGGACCCAAGCCCCCCAGCCTTGTGAGGGTGTATCCAGCTGCAAACAGCTGCAAACACAGCTTGGCTCTTCCCTGCCCATCCCTCCTCCCCACAATGAGGAGCTCTGGTAGGCTCTGCAGTCCCCAGGGCTTCGGTGGCCATCTCAGTCCTGTCCCCTTCTGGAAGCTGGGGCTGCCCAGGCTCTTACAGGCGCCTGACTTCAGGGTGAGGACGCAGAGCAGGGGGCTGGTGAGGATGTGCAGGCAGTTGAGGGGTCTCCTCCAGTTCAGGTCATCCTTGTCGGGGTCCACAACGGGAACGGTGAGCAGCAGCAGCAGCTCCACGGGCACCTGGCATGGGGGACACCTGGCATGAGGGTGCCCCATGACCTGCTCCCAGCCCCACCATCCCCACCGCACAGCCCCGGGGGGACAGAGCCTCCAGCAGGGATGGGGCTGCCCCTCGGGGGGCTCCTCCTGGCACATGGTGCCCCCTCCTCACCCTGAAGGCCTTGAAGAGCCGCCAGTACCAGGGCTTCCTCCTCCACTTGCGGCAGTCCAGGGGGCTGAGGGCCGAGGTGAGGATGCGCAGGGAGCTCTCCCGGGAGGGCAGCAGGGGCCGGTACTCCTCCCCTGCCAGGGCCCACGGGCACTGAGCGGGCTGGGGGCTCCCTGCGTGTCCCCAGAGAGCTCCCCCTGCCCCGTGGGCTGTCACCCCACAGGCTCAGCCGCACCTGCAGCAGCCTGGGGGGCTCTGGGGCTGCTGAGGATGGAGCAGAGCCCACAGGGAACCACATACCATAGTCCCCACTGTTCGTGCTCGAGGGCTCCGGCTCTTCCACATCTGTCGGCATCTCTGCGGGGAAGAGGAGCAAGCAGGGCCACTGGAAGGGCACCCCAACACACCGGGGTCCCACCCCAGCCAGGCAGCCCTTACCTGGCTCCCAGGCTCCGGGAGGGGCCAGCCCATCCCCGCGCTGCCGCCGGTGGATCCAGGTGCAGAGCACCACGGTGAGCACGTAGAACACGTAGAGCCCCAGGTAACCTGAGGTGGGGAGTGATGGGGGGGTCACGGCACCCCCAGGCTGCTCCCACCACCCCCAGCTCCCACAGCGCTCACCCAGAGCCTCTCCCAGCCTGATCCTGCCCAAGTAGAGGATGATGAAGGTGAGGAAGACGGCCACCATGTAGAAGATGACGTCCCTGAGGAAGGGCCTGGAGGCGGCCGTGAAGGGCTTGACCAGGGCAATGCCCCCGGCCACCACCGTGGTCACAAACACACCGGCACCTGCCAACACAGTGGGGCTCTCTCGGGACACAGGAACATCCCGCAGCTCCAAAGTATCACCCCGTGAGGACGTGACCCTTACCAAAGACAGCCCCGATGGCCAGCCCTGCGGTCCGGGGGTCCGAGAAAGCCACCACAGCACTGAAGACATCAGGGGCCCCGTTTCCAAAGGCCAGGAAGGTGACACCATGGAGAGGGGACGTCAAGGAAAAGCCCTGGTGTCCTCCTCCCCGTGAGGGAGCTGTGTACTCCTGTCTAGAGCCAGCACATGAGCACTTGTCCTGCTGTCACCTCCAGCTCACCCTGCCAATAGGTTTCCCCTGGCACAGTGCTGAGGGGACACAAAGTGACCCTGTCACGGCCAGCTCCCCTGCCCTGCCCCCACATCCCTCCTGTGATTTGCCAAGGATACTGCCACGTTGTGGGACAGCTTCAGGTTGGTGGAGATGGCTGATAAATTGGGGCAGAAGCTGGAAGGGCAGAAATGGAGACACAGAGAGGTGATGGTGCTACTTGGGGACCACAGGGCTCCTGGTCACTCTGGGGACAGTCCCCTCCTCTGTGGGCCACTCACAACTTCTCTGCTGTCACACCGAGGATGATGAACAGGTACAGGAGCCAGAGAGCCTGTGGGGTCAGGGGTGGCACAGAGAGGGGTCAGTGGGGTCCCTACTACGTGCCCCCACAGCAAAGCATCCCCAGCACCGCCCTTTCCCGTCCTTACATAGAGGGTGACAGCCAGGGGCAGCAGCCGGGGCGGGAAGACACAGAAGACCCCATCGAGGTAGTCGAGGAATCCCCCGTCCAGCCGGCAGTCGGGGTTGCTCCGGATGAAGTGGCACCACTCGGAGCTGTTGTGCTTCCGAACCTCCCAGCACTGCGGGGCAGAGGGGACGGTGCCTGGTCGGGCCCCCCGAGCACCCACTGCCACCCCGAGGGGACACGGCCACCCCGAGGGGACACTGCCACCCACCGCCCCCACAAGCGCTGCCGTCGCTGCCAGCCCTGCCTCGATTTCCCCACCTGAGCCACATGTGCGTGGGTCGAGGGCTGTGCCAGGGCCAGCAGAGGTGCAAAGCCTTGTCCCCACCCCATCCGTGTCCCCACGCACCCCACACCCACCCCGGGCCGTGGGAAGGCGCCGGCCTGGCAAGCAGAGAGGTTTTTGGAGGAAAAAGCAGCAGCGGAGGAAATCCTGGTGAGATCCCTGCTGCGATGGCGGGGACATGGAAGCAGGGACGGGACGGGACCCCAGCACCCCGGCAGCACCCAAATCCCTCCCGGCATCCCCCCCAAACCCCACCGCAGCCCCCAGACTTACATCCAGGCCCCGTGCGTGGCTCAGAGCATCCCCGCCCGGAGGGAGCGTGTGCCCCACGTCCAGCAGCTGCGGGGTCCCGGCTGGCAGTGCCCCGGCCAGCCCCGTGGCCCCCTGCCCCATGGTGCCCGCTCCCCGGTGGGGACAGCCCCGGGGGACACCTACCACCGGCAGCGGTCCCCGGGGGCGGAGAGCGGGGGCTGCCCCCGGAGCCCCATCCCGCGCTCCCCGGGCGGGGCCAGGAGGGGTTAAAAATTAATAATAAAATTGGAAATTATAGGTAATGCTAAAAATAATAAAATCGATAAAAAGCGGAGCTCCCCGCGGGCGGGTTGCGCCACGTTCCCGCCGGGGGGGCTCAGCCCGGGGACACCCCGAGAGGAGGGAGGGGGACGGCACCCACACCCCACGGACAAGGGGACTGGAGGGCAGAGAGGGGACAGAGAGGGACAGAGAGGGACAGAGAGGGACAGAGGGGACAGAGAGGGGACAGAGAGGGACAGAGAGGGGACAGAGAGGCCGCGGGACGGGCGGGGACAGGACCCCGGGGGGCGCGGCGGATGCCGGGCGGGGATGCGGGGATGGATGGGGGTACCCGGGGACCCCACCCGCGTCGCGGCCCCACCGTGTCGGCGCGGCCCCACTGCCGTGCGCGGCCGCCGAGCCCTGCCGGCCCCCCCGCCTTAAAGGGGCCGCCACCCTCCGCCCTTAAAGCGACAGCGACACTTCCCCGGCGGCTGGCGGCTGGCCGCCCGGAGGGGACACACGCGGCTCTCTGCTCCGTGCTGTCCCTCTGAGGCCGGGACACCCTCCCCGAGTGTTCCGGGCACCCACAGCCCCACGGGCGGGACCCTCAGAGCACGGGCGGGCTCAGCGAAGCCGGAGATGCTGTCCCGTGGTGGGGCAGCCGCGGCACCGGGGCTGCTCTGGTCCCGCACCCCACAGACACCCCACACAGTCGGTATGGGGGGTCTGTGCCCCTCTCCAGGTGTCCCCAGCTCCAGGACACCCCAGCCTGAAGCGTGCCCCATGCAAGGGCCGTGCCCTGTTTGTGGGGTGCAGGCTGGCCCCCACGGCCGGAGCCCCACGATGCGCATGGGATTCAAAATCCATTTCCCACCCTGGCCCGTTCCCCCCGAAGCTGCGTCCTGCGTTCTCCCCGGAGACAGGAGAAGGGAATTGTGCAAGGCCGGGGCCCGAGGGAAGGGGCAGCACCCGATGTGCGCCCCCCGCCCCGGGCGCAGGGACACGCCGCGGCCGCGCCGCTCACACGAGGGGCCACGCGTGTCCCCCGAAGGCTGAGGGCGTGGGGCTGGGAGAGAGGCGGGGTGGGAGCGTGGCTGCGGGTGTGGGGCTGTGGGGTGGCACTGTGGGGTGGCACTGTGGGAACAGGGCTGCTGTGGGGTGGCACTGTGGGGTGACATGGGGGAACAGAGCTGCTGTGGGGTGGCACTGTGGGGTGGCGCTGTGGGGTGGCACTGTGGGAACAGGGCTGCTGTGGGGTGGCACTGTGGGGTGGCACTGTGGGGTGGCACTGTGGGGTGACGCTGTGGGGTGGCACTGTGGGAACAGGGCTGCTGTGGGGTGGCGCTGTGGGGTGGCACTGTGGGAACAGGGCTGCTGTGGGGGGCTCGGGGGTCCCACAGCGCGGGAGCGGCGGGGGGCGTGGCCACGCTGCAAACCCCGCCCTATGCCCCGCCCCGTGTGGGGCGTTAACGCAGGTGATTGGTGTGGGGGCGTGGCCAATCGACGCTCCGCCCAATCCTGTCCCGCCCCACTGATCCAACGCTACGATGGAGGCGTGGCCAGAGTGAAGCCCCGCCCCTCCATCCCCGCCCCTCAGTGTCCCCGCCATGGCGGCCCCGCGGACGCTGCCGCTGTCCCCGCTGCTGTCCCCGCTGCTGCTGTCCCCGCTGCTGTCCCTTCTGCTCTCCCCGCTGCTCCTCTCCGCCTCGTCCCCGGTGCCCCGCAATGTCTCCGTGCTGCTGGAGCCCGGCTCCGAGCGGCTGCGCGTCCTCCCCGGCCGCCACCCCGGCGCCGTGGCCTGGGCCAGCCTGGATGACCGCATCCCGCACGTCGGGTACGGCCCGTGCGGGACGGGGCCGGGCGGGGCTGGGGCGGCCGCGGGGGAGCCGTGGGCGGTGGGGAGCCCCGTCCCAGCCGTGCCCGTGTCCCCACAGCTGGGCCTTCCTGGAGGTGGCCACCAACGCCTCGTACAATGACAGCCTGCAGGCCTACGCGGCCGGGCTGGCCGAGGCTGCGGTCAGCGAGCAGGTAAGGGGGGGCCTGCAGGGCTGCGAGCCTCGCCGCTGCCGGCCGGCCCCGCCCTGACAGCGCCGCCCTGTCCTACCCCACAGCTGATGTACATGCACTGGATGAACACCATGGTGGGCTACTGCGGCCCCTTCAAGTACGAGAGCGAGTACTGCCAGAAGCTGCGCAGCTACCTGGAGGCCAACCTGGCCTGGATGGAGGAGCAGATGGCGAAAGGGCATGACACCGAGTACTGGCACCAGGTGAGGGTGAGGAGCCCCCTGGATGCTCCTGGGCCTGTAACCCAGAGGGCAGTGCAGGGCAGCGAGCTGTCCTGGCCCAGCTCCGGGTAGGATGACAGTGATGTGGTCATCCTCCTTCCTGGGTGAGTGGAGGTGATTCGTGACTTTCTCCTTGCCAGAGCCTCGCATGCTGCAGCTGGGGTGCACAGGAGGTGGCTTTGTCACCCGTGGCCATGGGTACTGAGTCATGACCTTGCTGACAGTGACACTTCCCCCCTGTGCCTCTGCAGCAGTACTGGGACCCAACTGATCTGCTCTGTGCCCCGGGGGAATGAGGGAGCCTGTTCCCCCTGCCTCCTCGCAGGAGCTGGGTGACAGCTCTGTCCCCTGTCCCCAGGTGCGCCTGGCCCTGCTGCAGCTGAAGGGGCTGGAGGACAGCTACAACGGGCGCCTGGACTTCCCCAGGGGCAGGATCACCCTGGCACCCTTCGGCTTCCTGTAAGCTCCTTCTCAGAGGTGGGGAAGAGTTGTCAGTTGTTAGTTTGGAGTGCTGTGGGGACCATTCCTGCATGTCCAGGAATCAGCCAGTTCTACTCCCACTCTAATTTGCCCACCTTTTCTGGGCATTTGTCTTCTGCTGCTGGGGCAGGTCAGAGCCAAGGCAGGTGACAACTTCCCCACCCCATGGGCTGGGTGGTGGGCTCCCCCCACAGCCCCTGCCTCAGTTTCCCCAGTGCTGTGCTCCCCCTTTCCTCCCTGCTCATGCTACCAGGGTGCTGCCAGCACAAGTGCCTGCACTGGGGTGTGGTGGAGATGGACAGACAGACAGAGAGCTCTGGGCCAGCTCAGCTCCAGGCCTGGGGCATCCCTCACCTGACATCTTACGCCTTGCTTCCCCCCAGGCTGCTGCAGCTGGGGGGTGACCTGGAGGACCTGGAGTCTGCCCTGAACCGCTCCTCCCCTCAGCGTGTCCTGGGCTCGGGCTCCTGCTCGGCCCTGGTGAAGCTGCTGCCGGGCCAGCGGGACCTGCTGGTGGCCCACGACACCTGGAGCTCCTACCAGGCCATGCTGCGCGTCGTCAAGAAGTACACGCTGCCCTTCCGCACCTCGGCCGGCGGTGCGTGGGCTGGGCTGGGGGGGCTGCGCCTCACACCCCCCTTCTGACGCTCTGCATCCCCCCTCCAGGCGAGTCTCAGATCCCTGGGAGCGTCCAGGTGTTCTCCTCCTACCCCGGCACCATCTTCTCCATGGATGACTTCTACATCCTCGGCAGCGGGTTGGTGAGTGGGTCTGCTCCTCAGGCACCTCTCCCCGGCCCTGCTGCCCTCCCCACCGCTCCCTGCCCTGCAGGTCACGCTGGAAACCACCATTGGGAACAACAACCCAGCCCTGTGGAAGTACCTGGAGCCCCGGGGCAGCGTCCTGGAGTGGCTGAGGAACATCGTGGCCAACCGGCTGGCCCGCAGCGGGCCCGAGTGGGCCGCGGTCTTCCGGCGCTTCAACAGCGGCACGTGAGTGGGGAGGGATGGGCCTGGGAATTGGTTCTGGAGGGATGGTGGTGCCTTGGGAAGGCTGCCCTAGGACAGAGGCTGGACAGAGTTAAAGAATAAAGCAGGGATTTATTAAAAGCCTCGATGGATCTGCCTTGGGCTGCACCCAAGATGAACCCAAAATGGTCACAAAAATGGATGACTGGTCAGGAGGTCTCTCACTTTTATCAGTTCTGCTCCATTTGCACATTAGAGTTAATTGTCCAATTACAGCTTTAGCTTATGCAGTCCCATCCTTCTTGGTTTTCTCTCTTCAGTCCACATTGTTTGTGCTCTTGGGCCCGAGATTTGGATCATTTGTCCTTGGCCCCAAGGTAGAGAAGGAATTGTTTTGTCTAGCTACTCTGTGCAGAGAGCTCACCATTCCTTAATATGACGCTCAGAAGTACACACTAAAGCAGCACAGAATGTGAAAAATATAAAAACTAAAACTCAAGCCATCAGTGGGATGGGATGGAGGGTGCCCAGGCTGCCAGAGGGATGCATCCCTTGCTCTCCATGCCAGGTACAACAACCAGTGGATGGTGGTGGACTACAATGCCTTCACCCCAGGCAGAGCAAGCCCGGCACCGGGCGTGCTGACAGTGCTGGAGCAGATCCCGTGAGTGGCTCCATTCCTCCCTGAGCCCCTGCTGTCTCCTCTCTCATTCCTGTGGGTTTGGGAAAGCCCTGAGGGTGGTGCTTGCCCAGCCCAATGGGTGGTCACAGGGCAGTGGGGCCTGTGTGTGGCTAAAGGCTTTGGGGGTGCTGGTACTGAGGTGATGGGTGCCCAGCACCTCTGGCTGGGGTGGTAACTCCTCAGTGGGGACCCCCAGGATGTGTCCCCCCCAGCCCAGCATGTCCCCCACTATCCCCAGTGGCTTTTTGCCCCCTCTGCTCTGACCAGTGCTCTTCCTCCCAGCACAGGGGCCTGGTGGTGGTGGCTGATCAGACAAAGCTGCTGTACCAGCAGGGCTACTGGGCCAGCTACAACGTGCCGTGAGTGCCACCCTGCCCCGTGGCCTGCCCTGGAAAGAGAGGCACGGTGCTCACCTTGCTCCCCCTTGGTGCCAGCTTGCTGTGTTCTCCCACCCCAGGTACTTTGAGGAGATCTTCAACGCCAGTGGGAACCTGGAGCTGGTGAGGAAATACGGCGACTGGTTCAGCTATGACAAGAACCCTCGTGCCCAGATCTTCCGCCGGAACCAGACGCTGGTGCACGACCTGGACTCCATGATCCGCCTGATGCGGTGTGTGCTGGGCACCCCCAAACCCACCTTGCTCCCCCAGGGAATTTCCTGTGATCTGTGGGCTTTTTGCACGTCTTCACCGTGGCTCTGTGCCCTCCCTTCTTTGTGCAGGTCCAACAACTACCTGCAGGACCCTCTGTCGCGGTGCCGGGGCTGTGACCCGCCCCAGAACGCTGAGAACGCCATCTCCGCCCGCTCCGACCTCAACCCTTCCAACGGCACCTACCCCTTCCCTGCGCTGCGCCAGCGCTGCCACGGCGGCATCGACATGAAGGTGTGCCAGCCAGGCAGGGCTGCAGGGGCTCCCTCTGGGGCCGTGCAGCCCCTTCCCGCTGCTGACTGGCTGCCCTGCTTGTGTCCCCTCCTGCAGGTCACCTCCTCGGCCATGGTGCCCACCTTCGGCCTGGTGGCGGTCAGCGGCCCCGCCTGGGATGACGTGCCACCCTTCCGCTGGAGCGCGTCCCCCTGCAGCTCCCTGCTCCACATGGGCCACCCTGACCTCTGGACCTTTCCCCCAGTCAAGGTCCACTGGGACTGAGCCCACGCTGGTCCCGTCCGTCTGTCCGTCCGTGGGCGTCTGTCCCGTGGGGGTCTGAGCTCTGTAGCAGCTCTCAGCTCTGTGTAACGGGGCTCCCCCTGTTCTCTCTGCCTCTCAGGGTCCTGGCTGTGCTGCACAAGCCCAGCGTGTCCCCTCCCTGCCATGGGGCTCTCCAGGCTCTTCCCCGGGTGCTGCAGCCTGGTTTGGGGGGGCTCTTCCCGAAAAAGGGCCGTGCTGGGAGGCTGGGGCTCGCCCTGAGTGCAGGCAGGAGGGCAGTGAGCTGGTTTGGCTGTGGTAAATAAAGTGCTCAGTGCTGGTGGCTGTGCTCTGCTCCCTGCTGAGGTTCTCTGGTGGCTTCTGTTAGGGTTGGGCTCAGCAGGGCTTGTCCCCTCCCCATTAACAGGGTGATCTGCTTCTCTGCTGGTGGGAGCCTGTGTGCCCCCTGGGCCGGGCTTGTGGGGTGCAGGCTGTGAAGGCTTCTCTGCTGTGGGATGGGGGACCCCACTGCTCACCCCCCACGAGTGGGAGACCATCCTCATGCCTTTTATCTTCTTTTCCTCTGGCACCTGTGTGCCCCAAAACCCGCGGTGCAAAATCCTCTTAGGCAGCTCCCTTGATCCGCTCTGGCTCGTTAGGAATAACGAGGTCATTACCGGGGGATTAATGAGCTGTGCCTCGGCAGTGCTTTGAAGGCACCAGGTTCCCACCGGGGCTGGGGGCCCCTGGGGGACGTGGGGGGCTGGGAGGGGGTAGCTCTGGGCAGCTGGGGTGCTGGCACCCCAAAAACTGGGATGGGTGCCCTGGGGGTCTGTACCCCGCTGTGCTGGGACAGATTGCAGGGAGTTGAGGATGGCAGAGCCTGTGTCCCCTCGTGTCCCCATGGTGTGTGGGCTGCTGTGGAGGGATGGGCTGGTTCTGGGCTCCCTGTGCCTCAGTTTCCCCAGACAGATCACTGTCACTGGGTGAGGGAGCAGCAAGGAGGAACAGGGCACGCTGGAAATGCCACAGTGTTGCCGATTCCCTTTTTTGCTTCCTTAAAAGTGAAAAAACAAACAAAAAGTTGTTAAATACCATCCCAGCTGTTGCCGCAGTGTCAGCCAGGGACGCAGGCCAAGGGAGGTGACCAGGTGACAGCCTGGCATGCCTTCCTCATGGCAGGGATGGAGCCAAAGGGGAGCAGAGGAGGCACAGGGAGGTGGGCATGGGGTGAAAAGGGACTCTGGAGCACCCCAGGAAAGGTGGTGTCCTCCCAAGGGGGTTCGGGGAGGCTTTTTGCCCCCCTTTCCAGCTCCTGCTGCTGTCCCACCCCCATGGAAGTGGCTGCAGTCTCTGCCTGCTGTGAGGTGGGGGGGGTCACCCCAAAGGCCCCCAGAGGGACTGGAGCTGTGTCCCCCCCGTGCCCCCATCCAAGAAATCCCCCTCATTGCCCTCCTTTCCAGACCCCGTGTCCCCAAAGCAGCGTGGCTCTGCAGAGGGCTGTGCTGTGCTCTGCTGCTCTCCCGGGAGCCCAGGGGGGCTGTGGGAAGCAGGGATGTCCTGTTGGCACCAAAGATCAGCCCCATGGGGAGCAGGGCAGCCCCACAGCTCTCCCCCTGCTCGCTGCCTGCCCTGGGGGGGTTTTGCAGCACAGTTTGGGTCAGGGCACCGAAATCCCATATTCTGGTTTCACTGCTGTGTGCCTGGCACTGGGGCAGAACCGGGCACAGTGCAGTGTCCCCTCCTCGGGACCCCTTGTGCCCTCTGCTTCCAGGCTGCTTCAGCTTGGCCAGAGCAACAGAGGAACCTCCTGCGGCTGCGGGGCTGCGTGCCAGGGCTGGCCCTTCCTCCAGATCCCACCTTCCTCCTCCTCCCTGCCTGCCGTGGGCACAACCAGCCCCTCGGAGCACAGGTAGGGCTGTTACCCTGGGGGTGCCACTGGGGCTGGGTGGCAAGGAAGGGTCCCAGAGGAAGGGAGAGGGCTCTGCCTGCTTTGCCTGGGGGCTGCTGGACCTTGGGTCTGGGCCAGCCTCTGGCTGGGTGGCTTGGGACAGCCCCTCTCTAAGGGATCTTTGTCTGTGGGGTGCCTGGTACGGCCAGCTGGAGCGGGGGGCTCATCCCGGGGGTCTCCCCCACCTGGGATGGGAACCTTGGAGAGGATTGAAGGGCTGCCATAGGCGGGGGTGAGCAGAGGGGTGTGATGGCTTGTTTGGAGGCAATGAGAGGTGTCTTGGCTGGGGTTTTGAGGTGTGCTGGCTGCCCTGGCTACACCAACGGTTCAGGAGCAAAATCTTAAAATCTGCTGCTCCATGTTTTTGTCAGGACCAAATAATACCCAGTGCAAACCCTTGAGGGCCCCTAAAATAATTTGTGAGCTGCCTTTCCTCTTCCCCCATCTCCTGGGAGCCCAGATCCCATCTCCCGGGCATTGAGAGCTGCCGGGGTCTGGCTGGCAGGGCCACACGTGTTTGTCCCCACGGGTGGCCCGGCAGCGTGCCCTGGGCAGCAGCACAGCCTGGAAAACAAACAGCAAACAGCAAAGATCCGGGCCAATGTCCACCCTCTGCCCCTTGCCCAGCTGAGCACGGCCACCTGGGGACACCGGCACGGTCCCTTGGACATCACCGCTCCCTCGGTGTCACACAGGCCCGGTGCTGGCTGAGGACACGCCGCGAGGTCCCACGGGCCACCAGGTAATGGCCAGCCCGGGTTACAGGACAGGCTGTGCACGGCCACTGGGGCTCTGGGCACCACGAGCATGGAGGAGGGGGTGGCACAGCCTGGGATGTCCCTGGGATCTTCCAGGGAGAGCTGCTGCAGCCTAGAGATGGGAGGGGACACTGGGGACAGCCCTGTCCCGGAGTGGGCATCGGGGCTGCGGGGGGGACCCGTGGGGAGCAGCTGGTGACTCCAGCTCCTCTCCCTGGCAGAGCATCTGTTGCCAGGCCATGGCAGCCCGGCCAGAAGAGGGCCAGAAGCCCTTCCACATCGTTTCACCCGTCCTGGAGAGCCTGTCCCTCTCCAAGGCCGCGGGCACCAAGGTCTTCATGAAGCTGGAGAACGTCCAGCCCTCGGGATCCTTCAAGATCCGGGGCATCGGGCACCTGTGCCAGGATGTGAGTGTGGGCACGGTGTGTGCAGGGGGCTGCTCCTGCCCTCCTGGGGGGCACCGTGGGGGGACACAGCCGTCCCCTGCCCTCTTTCTCTCCTCCTTTCAGGCTGCCAAGAAGGGCTGCCGGCACTTGGTCTGCTCCTCAGGTAACTGCAGCCCGAGCTGGGGGATGCTCCTGAGGAGGCCGGGGATGTGCAGGGGTGGAGCCCTGGCTGAGCCCTCCGTTTGCCCAGGAGGGAACGCGGGTCTGGCAGCCGCCTATGCTGCTCAGAAGTTGGGGCTGCCCATCACCGTGGTGGTCCCCAGCAGCAGCGGCCCCACCCCCGTGCGCAAACTGCAGGAACTTGGGGCGACAGTCGAGGTCTACGGCAAGGTACCCCCAAAAGTGGGGTCTGGGGGGGTCCAGAGAGGGCTGGGCCTGACCTCAGCTGCTCGTTGGTGCTTGGCAAACCTATCCCAAAATGTTCCCTTCCCGCATCCCCTACATCCCAGCATCACAGCAGGGTCACCCTGGGATCCCGCACTCGTTGTGGTGTCCCCCAGCCCCGCAGGGACAAGGGACCCGTCCCGGGGTTGTGAGGGCCCTGTGGAGCCCTGCTGAGCGCCCCCTTACCCCACCCAGGTGTGGGATGATGCCAACAGCAGAGCCCAGGAGCTGGCTAAGGCAGAGGGCTGGGTCAGCATCCCCCCCTTCGATCACCCCTTGGTGTGGTGAGTGCTGCCCCGGTTCCCATCCCCGGATCCCGGGGAGCCCCCGGCCGCATCCTCCTGCCCCACCCCTGCAGGGAGGGACACGCCAGCCTGGTCCGGGAGCTGAAGGACTCTCTGGAGGCCAAACCAGACGCCATGGTGGTGGCGGTGGGTGGCGGGGGGCTGCTGGCCGGTGTGGTGGCCGGCCTGCAGCAGGTGGGCTGGCAGGATGTCCCCATCATCGCCGCCGAGACGCGGGGGGCTCACAGCTTCCACGAGGCGCTCCAAGCCGGGCAGCTCGTCACCCTGCCCGCCATCACCAGGTGAGCAGCGGGGCGTGCGGGGAGCGGTGGGGGTGGCCGAGGTGTCCCCCCTGAGCCGTGTCCCGTCCCGGCCGTGCAGCGTGGCCACGGGCCTGGGTGCCCGGACGGTGGCGGCGCGGGCGCTGCAGTGCGCCCGGGAGTGCCCGGTGCTCTCACAGGTGGTGGAGGACACGGAGGCCGTGCGGGCTGTGGAGCAGTTCCTGGGTGAGCGGGGTGATGGGGATGGACTCTGGGGGCCGCGTGGGTGCCCCGATGTCACCCTGCTGTGTCCCCGCAGATGAGGAGCGGATGCTGGTGGAACCGGCGTGCGGGGCCGCGCTGGCCGTGCTCTACTCGGGGCGGCTGCAGCGGCTGCAGAGCGAGGGGCGGCTGCGGAGCCCGCTGAGCTCCGTGCTGCTGGTGCTCTGCGGCGGCAGCAACATCCACACGGCCCAGCTGCGGGCCCTGAAGAGCCGCCTGGGGCTGCCGTGACACCCGCGCCGGGCACGGCGTGTGGCAGAGCCCCCCCGGCCCGCTCTGCTTGCTTGCCTTCCCAAAGAACCGAAATAAAGCCTGGGGACCGGAGCCGGGATCCTCACGCAGCCTCTGGCAGGGATGGGGAAACTGAAGCACGGGGGGTGGCACTGCAGGCAGGGTGGTGCCCGTGCCGAGGGCAGGACTGGGCCCGCACATCCCGCTTTTCCCCTGGGACATGCCGCTTTTCCCCCGGGACATCCCGCTTTTCCCCTGGGACATGCCGCTTTTCCCCTGGGACATGCCGCTTTTCCCCCGGGACATGCCGCTTTTCCCCTGGGACATGCCGCTTTTCCCCTGGGACATGCCGGGTATTCTCCTCTGCGACCCTCCGCCCCCCTCTCCTTCCTCCCCAGGCTGCTCGGGCTGCAGCTCCCCACCCCAATTAGCAAGCGCTCCCTCTCTGACTAATTACTTTGCTACTGTCTTTATGCATTATTATTGTAATGATTATTAATTATTACAATCCTCTCCCGTTCCTACCACGTTGGCTGCGGCCAGACGAGAGCAACGCTCTTGTTACGGTGATTTATCCACGGGAATCCCCGGCCGGGTTTAGCAGCTGCGAGGTGCTCTAACATGTGGAGGGGATATACCCCATCCTAGACCCCCTAAGGTCCCTTTTTCCCCCCATCCCACTTTTTCCCCATTCTCCCTTTCCCGCAGCCTTTCCTGCTCTCCCACATTTCCGCTCTGTAGCGCTGTGTTTGCTTTCAGCCCTTTGCTGTGGCGCCTCCTGGGGTATTTTTCGTGTCCTCCCAACAACATTTCTCCTCTCTCCTCCCTCCCCTGACGGCTGATGCGGGTTTTGCTCCTGCTGGTGCCCTCCAGCCCCACCTGGTTCCCTGTGATGCTGGGCGGGGAGAGAAGCCTTTTGCTGTCCCCAAACCCTTCTCATCCTCCTCCCTTTCGGAGCAGAGGGGTGGCAGCCCCAGGAGCAGCCACCACATCCCCCACAAAGCCCTGTCCCCTGCCAACCCCCCAAAAACCCCTCCCTGCCCCCAGCCCCGTGGCCCTGGACCTCCCACCGCCTTCCCAGGTGCTTCGTGGAGGCCAAACCCCCATAAATCAAAACTCTGCCGCTCCATCGTGAGCAATACCTTATGTAAAAAGGTGTTTCCAGGGAGCACCGAAGGCTGGAGAATCCTATTACGAGGTACACTATTAATTATAAGGAGTCAGCCCAATCTACTCCAGCTATTTTTTATCCCAGGTCCAAAACCTGATTACTTTCCACCTTCTCCTCCCCCCTTCAGGAAAAAAAAAAAAAAAAAGGCAAGAAGGTCAGGAGAATGAAAAAAAAACCAAAAACCCAAATCGAATAGCATTGGTGTTTGCCCAAAAGCTTTTAAAAAGGAATTTATTCCCGTGATTCTGCTCGGGGGTGGTGCCAGGGCAGCCAGGAGCTCGCGATGGGGATTCCTCAGCACAGAGGGGTCATTGCTGGTGGTGGCACGGGCGTGACTGTGGGGTTGGGGTGACCCAGCAGGGAGTTTTTCCCCTCCTTCAGGAGGGGCACTTGGCCTTTGGGTGCCAGCTGGGGGCTTTGGGTGCCCCCGGCAGGGATGTGGGGTGCAGGGTGGACAGGACACCCCGATGGGGCAGCAGGAATCCTGAGTGCTGCTGCCTTCCCAGCACCTCTGGGGTGATGGGGACCCCGGGTTTGGCTCCTGCAGAGCTCCTCTGTGCCAGGGAATTATTCCCTGGGATTTTCCCTGCTTGGCTGGCTGCTCCTGCCGAGTCCCATCCTCCTGCGAGCCTCCAGCCTGGGAGGTGGCAGCTTGGAGCATCATCCCCAGTCCCTCCTGCAGCCTCTTCTGTCCAGGTCCCCCAGAAGGGGAGTCCCAGCAGCCTAAAAACAACCCTCAGCTCCGTGCCTTGGATTTCGAAATAATAATAATAATATGAATAATAATGTATTAATAATAATAATAATAATAGCAACCAGTGTTCACCCAGTGATTGACCATTTTATACTCATCAAGATGATGCTGTGAGTGGGTTATTGACCACCACATCGCCCTGTCCTTATGAAAATTCCCCATTCCCCGCTAACACCGACAGCCTGGAAGTGCTGGAGCCCAGGGGAGCAGCCCGCTGTGCTCCTGCCTCAGTTTCCCCATTTGGGAAAAAGGGAGAAGGTGTTTTTTTGGGGGGGTGAGGGGACCCCAGTGTCTGTGCTGGCCCAGCTCCTGGCTCAGGGCTCGCTCGGGGCTCAGCGTGGCTCGTTGGCCACCCCGTTATTAATGCCAGGAATGGTAAAGGAAGGATAAATTCCACCACTTGGCTGAACAGAGAAAATATGCAGAGATGTGGCTGGCTTTCCATAAATCATCGGGGCTCCGTGCTACAACCGAGCCAGGACTTAAAATTCAGGTCAGGAGAGAGGGACTCTCGTAAGCCAGCGAGGGAAGGTAATTTATTCTGTTTATATCGTTTTACTGCAAGACAAGGAGCGGGGGGGAAAGGGGGGGGTGGCGAAAAACTCTGCCATGATTTTGCATTTTAAATATTAGTTCAGAGCTGCATCCTGCCTGGGACTTTTTATTGTCATATCTCAAGGGATAGAAAGCAGGAGAGAAGGGTTAGGGGTGCTGGGGAGGAGACCCTCCCCTCTCCTGGCACAGAATGCCCGGGGAAAATGGGGCAAAGCTGCTGATGGCACTGCTGAACCCCCACTTGGGGTGTCCCCCCAGCTGAACCCCGAGGCTGCAGGTGCCCCTGGGCTGCTCTGGGTGCCCCCCGGGAGAAAGGAACCGTGCGTTGTGCTGTGGGGAAGGGGCTGAGCTGGGCAAAGGTACTGGGGGGACTGGGGGAACTGGGGGGCGCTGGGGTAGGGGGTTGGGGGTGCAGCAGCATCACCGTGTCCAGGTGCACTTGGCTCCCCCAGGGCACTGCTCCCCCAGAGCCCACGCAGGGCTGGGGGACAGTGGGGGAGCCCGGGCCGCATCTCCCACGGGCTTCTGTTAAACCAAATTAAAGTAAAATAAAATGAAAGGGACCAGGTGACCGAACAGTAGGTAACTAAAAGGTTTTTTATTCACATTGAACAACAAGAGCCATTCACACTAACAGCCTCCGCAAGAGGCAGCGGGGACAGGAAACCCACGACGCTTTCAGAAAACAACTTTTTTTCTTTCCTTTTCCATTCTCCTTCCTTTTATCCCCCCGCCTCTCTCTATGCTCTCACCCCCCCTCCCCGGTGCCATCCCCTCCCTGCATTCAAAATAGAAAAATTCGGAGCCTCCGATGACTAAAGTACAATAAATAATCAGTAAACACAAAAACATACTTTATTTGTTTCTCCTTTATACAAAATAAAGAAACTAGAAGCAAAAACTATAATACATCCTTAAATTGGCGGAGCCTCTGGGAATCGTTGGGGTGGGACTCGGCGTCGAGGCTCGGGTGAAATGTCTAAATTTCTGCTGCTGCGGTTGGGTTTGTTTCGTTCTGGGGTTTATTGTTTGTTTGGGGTTTTGTTGCTGTTGGTTTTGTTGTGGTTTTTTATTCCTGTTCCGCCACGTGGGAGCCCAACCTCAGCCAGCACTGGTGCAGCCCCCTCCCCAAAAAGCGGCTCCGAACCCCCCTTCCCCTCGGGGGTGAGACGGGAACAATAAAAACGAGGGCAGGGAGGGGCCGCGGGGGGGTTATTCCTGCTATTCCCCATTGGTAGGGGTAATTAAAAAGGATGCTAATTAGCAGGGGCAGCCCTGCCGCAGCCCCTCCCGCGGTCCGGGCGGGTTCAGCTTTGGTCCGAGAGGCGCTGTCCCGCCGCCGGCGGGCTCTGCGGGGCTGGGCACCTTTCCGTGCCCCCCAAAAGAGTCGGGGGGTCGGTGGCGGGCTGTGGGAGGTAGCGGGGTGACCCCAAACTCCCGGGGGGTGCGGGGATGGGGAGGACGGGCGGATGCCGGGATGCGGTTTGGCATCTGCGGGAGGGTTTTACCGGCCCCTGCTGCGGGGCGAGGAGGGGGACACGCGTGGGCTGGGGGGACCAGGGGGGGGTTTCCCCCTGCGCACACGCACACGCGTGTCCGGGCCGGGCCTACCACACCGCCGCCTCGCTGAGCTCCGGGTTGGGGTGCGCCAGAGCGCCGCTGTAGCCGCTATTGCTGGAGATGGAGAAGGGCGGGCTGGGCCCCCCGCTGAACACCTCCCCCGGGATGGGGTGCAGCGAGCCCGGCATCCCCGGCTCGGGGCTGGGGGTGTCGGGGTGCGAGATCATATCCGTGTACCTTTGGTTTTCTGAGGAGTGGTGTCCGCTTAGGGGGGGCTCCAAGGCTCCCAGGGGTGTGGAGCCGGGTCCTGAGTTCTGAAGGTAGCTGGAGTCGGCCGGGGACTGCGCTTGGGAGGGCGGCCCGTGCGGGAAAAAGTCATAGTTGCCTCCCGGCCCGTAGTAGTCACCTTGGTAATCTGTGGGGAGGGAGGGGAAAAAAGATGGATTTGGTCTCCTGGAGCTAAAAACCACCCAAAATCCCGCTGCGCCCCAAAGCCTTGTTGTCCCCTCCAGATCCGCCCTGTGCTGTCCCCTCCAAAACGCTCTGCTGGCTCCCAAAGGACGGCTGGGATTTAAATCCCACCTTATAGGAGCGAGCCCGTCCTAAAAGCTGCACTGCCCATCACCCTCTCCTTGCCCAGCCCGGAGCGAGGGAGGGCAGAGAATCCGGGCTGGGGGAGGTGAGGGGCCGGGAAACGGGCTCCGTTTAGTGCTTAATTAATAGAGGGGAAAACAATAACACGCATATATTCATGTGTACGTATATAAAAAAGGAATGGGGGAAATAGAGATAGGCAAAAATAAATATAAAACGGGGAAAATGTATATAATGGGAAAATATATATGCACATTGGAGAAATTGTATATAATAGGACAAAATGTATTAAAAATATATGCAATGTGCAATTCATATATGTGTTTAAGCAGCTTGGAAGTGATCTATACACTAACCGCAGGGCAACAAGGGGTGCATGGGAAGCTCCAGGTCAGACGGAAGGCTTTGAAAATGCAGCTTTTGGGGGGGCTCTGCGGGGAGCTGGGGCGAGGGGAGGCACGGTGAAAATGCAGCTTTTGGGGGGGCTCTGCGGGGAGCTGGGGCAGAGGGGAGGCGCGGTGAAAATGCAGTTTTTGGGGGGCTCTGCGGGGAGCTGGGGCAGAGGGGAGGCGCGGTGAAAATGCAGCTTTTGGGGGAGCTGGGGGGCAGAGGGGGGGCGCGGGGCCGCCCCGCTGCGCCCATCCCGTCCCGCCGGGGCGGCCGGCCCGCACTGACCTTCCATATGCTGCGGGCCCGGGCGGTAATTGGAACAAATGCGGCCTGAAAGGGGGACAAAAGCCCCGCAGCTGTGGCTTTGTTGGCGGGAGAGGGGCCCCGCAATGCCGGGGGGGTGCGTGGAGCCCGCGGTGCGTGTGCGCGGCTGCGGGCACGCGTGGGCGCACGGGCGGGGCAAGGGGGAAACCCGCGGGGAGAGGGATGGGAGGAACAAAGGGAGAGAGCGGGGACAGGGCAGGGACCCCCGGGCCGTCCCTCACCTCCGTAGTAGGTGTAGGGCGTGGAGCCGAGCATCTCGGACTCGTCGAGGCGGCCGCCGAGGGGCCGCATCCTGCGGGGGCTGCGGAAGAACGCGTGCCGGCGGGCGCCCAGCGCGCTCAGCTGCTTCATCCGCCGCTCCTTCGACCGACGGTTCTGGAACCACACCTGTGGCCGGGCTGCTGTCAGTGCCCAAAGTCTGCGCGGGGACATCTTGCACCCGCACACGGCTTTTCCAATATCTGTTTGTTTTTTTGGGTTTTTTTTAACAACACCGAGCCCCCCCTTCCTGCTGCGTCTGCCTCAAAAAGTACATAGGGACACCGCGCCCCACAAATAACCGATTTATTTAAAACCCCTCCTTTCCCCTCAGCTGTACATTCTCAGCCTCTCTGTGCCTGCAGCTGGAAAATGCAGGGAGGGGAAATTTCCCCTATGGATAGGGGAAAGAAGGGAGGAAAGGTGGGAAGGAAAAAGGGGATAGGACTCTGGATCGCGGCAGAAAACGGGGAGCAGGGGGATGAGCACCTGCGGCAAGCGGCAAGGATTCAGAACAGCCGGCGGTGAGGATGGGAATAAAAGGGGAAGGGGGGATGTGGCCGCCTCTCCACGGGCATTGCTTCTTCCGATCCGCACGCCTCAGCAGCCTGGTGGGGCCTCTGGATTATTGTCTCACTCCCCCAGGGATGGGGCAGCTCAGGGGTACGAGCACAGCGCTCTCCTGCGGGACTTGTGCTCCCCTCTGCCGGGAGCCGCGAATCGCAGCTCCGCTACCGGCAAAGCCGGAGAGTCCTCCCCTATTAGTGCCTCTATTAAAGCCCATTAATCCCTACATTTCCGCAGGGATTTTCTTCCCGGGGGCAGTGCGGTGAGGAGGCGCCGGCTGCCTGCAGAGCGCGATGGACGCCGCCCGCTTGCGCAAGGCTGGAGCATCCATCTCCCGGCACGCCGGGGATCCTGCTCGGCCCCGCGCAAAACCTCCTGTTTTGGGAATGGTTTTCATCCTTTCCCACGGCTGGGGATCCCCGCTCACCCACGGGAGAGCGGGGTGGCTGCAGGGCTGGGCCTGAAGTGGCGCTGGCAGGGGATAAATGGGGTTTGAACATTCCCAATCCCGCAGCCTTGAAGCGCCCGGGCCCCCAGCGGGACCCGCCGCCCTCCCCGCGGCGGGCCGGGCTGCCCTACCTGGATGACTCTCATGTTGAGGCCGGTCTCCTGGGCCAGCTGCTCCCGGATGTGGCGAGTGGGTTTGGGGGTGGCGGCGAAGGCAGCTTTGAGGGTCTCCAGCTGCTTGGCTTTAATGGTGGTGCGGGGCCCCCTCCGCTTGGTGCCCGAGTTCTGCTCCTCGTTCTCGTTGTTGGTGGTCTCCTTGTCCGAGGAGGTGGAGTTGTCCGTTTCCTTGGTGTCGTCCTGCATGGGGTCCTGGAGATCCGGGGACAAACTCCTGTCTGTACATGAGGACACTGTAAAGGAGACCCAGAGAGGAAAGGGGGGGTGGATGACTTAGGGGAGAGATTAACCCCCCCTCTCCTCTGTCCTCCCCGGCCCTCCTGCCTTCCAGGAGAGGGGCTGGGGGTGCTGGAGAGCAGCTGGTTCCCCTAAAGGATCGCCCCCCAACACCACGCGGAGCTCCGGGCAGGCTCTGCCCGCTCCAGCCCTGTGCACCGTGTGGTGCCGGCGGGGGGAGCGGGGGAGGGGGTGACCCCCAGGCCCACCGCTGCCCCCCAGGCTCCCCCTCTCCTCCCCGTGCCGGGAAGCGGGATGCGCCGCTGGGCAAACCGCAAACCGCTCCCTGCGGAGGTTTCGGGGGTCCCCCGGTGGCTGCCTCGAGCCTGGCTCACCCCCCGCCCCCCGGCACCGTGTTCCCCCCGGGGACCCTGCAGCCAGCACCCCCCCAAGGCCAAGCTCTACTCGCCTCGCTCACAGCAGCGGCCCCACTGACTGGCGTGGCAGGATCCGGCCCCGGGTGCTGGACGGAGAGAGAGCCCACGGAAGGGGGTGAGCAGGGCCGCCCGGCATGGCTGGGACAGCAGGAGGGGGCCTGGCCCTGCTCTCCTGACGCAGAGACAGCTTCCAAGGAAGTCAAATGGGAGCTTTGCCTCTGGGTGAAAGGAGGCGAAGGATCAGGCCCACGGCGCGGGGGGACCGGGCACACTCGCAGGGGGGGCTCTGGGGAGTGAGGGGCTCCCGAGGCAGCCCTTGGGGGGATGGGGGCTCCCCCCGCCCCGCAGGAGCTGAGGCTGGAGCGGGGAGCTCATCCCACGCCTGTGGGGGTGTCACGGAGGATTCCACCCGGTTCCAAGCCTTTCACCCCACATCGCTCCCTCCCCCGGAGCATCAACTGGCTGCGGGGTGCAGCCCCTCACCCCACAAATCCAAACCTCCTGCCCGGCCGGGGCTGCCTCCACCGGGAGGTACCGGCAGCTCGGGGCTTGTGGCGGCGCTCTCGGCGCTGCCCCTCGGGCCGGTGCCGTGGCAGGGACTCCCGGGGGTCTCACTGGCTGTGGGGTGCAGCCCCTCACCCCACAAATCCAAACCTCCTGCCCGGCGGGAGGAACGGACGGCGGGAACGGAGCGGCGGGCGGGCTGAGCCGCTCGTACCTGAGTTGAGGCTGCCTTCCTTCAAACTGGGAGAGTTCAAATAATCCTCTTTGCAAACAAATTTGTTTTCGTCGATGATATAGAGTTCCTCGCCCGTGGAGAGCTGCTTGTTGCAGACCATGCAGGTGAAACAGTTCAGGTGAAAGACTTTATTCCGGGCTTTGCGGACGAGGTCGCTGGGAGAGATCCCTTGGGAGCAGCCGGCGCATTTGGTCCCAAACCTCCTGGGAAGGGGGAAAAGCGAGAGCTGGAGCCCCGGCAGAGACGGGCAGCGGCGGGGCCGGTGTGCGTTGCTCCCAGCCCCGCTCCTCCAACCCCACCGTGCCCTTGGGGCGAGGATGAAGAGAGCCTTCATCCCCGAGCAGCACAGCGCGAGTTTGGGGTGTCCCCACCCGCGGGGGACACGCAGGAGAATCCACACCCGGATTTGGCCCCAGAAGGGACGCGCGGGAGGGGAGAGCGGCCGGGGGTCCCCTCGGTGCTCCCCGGGGCAGGATTTCCTTTCAGCCGGTGCCTCCCGGGAGGGGAACGCGGGGCTCCGGCCTGGAAATCCCGCGGGGAAAACGGGGCTGACCGCGGCCAGAGAGACGGGAAAAGGAGCGGCGGCTGCGGGATCCGAACAACGGGAGGCGGAGGAGGGAGCTGCGCTCCCCAAAGCGTCCCGTAGTCCCAAGCCCCGCATCCCGTCCCGCTCTCCCGAGGGGGAATTTTTTCAGGTCGAAAAGAGTGCTTAGTAAATCTTCCTTCTTTCCCAGAGCGGGTCTGCGTTTAGGTGTGGTTTTGGGTTTTTTTTTTTCCCCCAGGAGATTAAAATAATTTTTTTTTCAGAGAATCCGAATTGGCTGTGAGCCATCTCCCAAGGGAAGGGAAAGAAAAAAAAAAAAAAAAAAAAAAAAAGGAAAAAACCAACAACCAATCCTGCCACAAAACAAAAACCAAATCCCCACAGGAAAAAAAAAAAAAAGGAACAAAATAAAACCCATAGCAAAATAAAACAACAAAAAAAAATTCCAACAAAGCCCCCCCAAACCAACCGAACAAACAAAAAAGAAAATGATACAAGAAAAAAAAAAAAAAAAAAGAACCAAACAAGCAAAAATTAAAACTAACCCCCAAAACAAACAAAAAAACCCCACGGAAACAAAAAATCTGCCCGCAGAACAGGGAGCAGGGGCTGTCCCCGAGGTCCCCGGGGGGCGCCCACGCAGGGTCCCCCCTTTTTCCCCTCGGGCCGCGGCACCACTCGTGCCCGTGTCGCTGCCGGCCGTGACGTTGATGTAGTGCGAGCATTAGGAGCCATAAGTCACGGCCCCCCGTGCCACCCGGCCCCTCATTTCCTCCCGGCCCCTTATCGCGGTCATTAGGGGCGTTTAAGGCGCGGGGGGGTCCCCGGGGGCGGTTTTGGGCTCGGTCTGCACCGGGGCCTGCGGTGGCGGAGGGGAGCGCGGGGTGCCAGGCCGGGCCGGAGCGGGGCACACCGCGGGGCACAGCGCGGCTCCCCCGGTGCCCACCGGGGCCTGGAGCGACCGGCCGGGCGGGGACAGCGGCCCGGGGCTGCTGGGGACATGGGGAGGTGATGGGGAGATGGTGGGGACATGATGGGGACATGATGGGGAGATGATGGGGAGAGGGGGACATGGGGACATGGGGACATGGGGACATGGGGAGGTGATAGGGAGATGGGGGGAAGATTGGGAGATGATGGGAAGATGATGGGGACATGATGGGGAGATGGGGAGATGATGGGGACATGATGGGGACATGGGGAGGTGATGGGGAGATGATGGGGACATGATGGGGACATGATGGGGACATGATGGGGACATGGGGCACAGCCTCGCCGCCCCCACCGCCCGCCCCACCGCGTCCCCCCGGGGCTTCTCCGGGCGCTGCTCCCGACGGAGCCGCGGGGAAGGGGCGGGAGGGACCGGAGGGGACCCCCCTGAGCTCCCCAAAACCCCGGGGACACCCCAGGGCAGTCCTGAGGAGCTCCGCACCTTCCGCTGCCCGTTGAGGCAGCAGTGAGGACTCACCTGAAAAAGTCATTTTTGCAGTAGAGTTTCCCTTCCCTGGAGAAACATTTCTCGGTCAGGTTGCACTTGCACTCGCAGCACTGGACGCATTTGATGTGCCATGCCCTGTCCAAGACGTTCAGTAGGAAGCGGTCCAAAATCGGCCTCTCGCAGCCCGCACAATGCACCATCATAACCTCCGCCGGGGGATGGAGACGCTCAAACGGAGAAGCCAGCCCCGCGCCGGCACACGGCGGCGGCAAAAATAGGAAAGAAACAAAAAAACCAAACAAAAAAACCCACCCAAACAAACAAAAAGCAGGGGAAAATAATGCAAAAATAAAATATAATAGGAAAAAAAAAAGGCAGGAAAAAATTAAAATTAAATGAAATTAAATGAAAATAAATAAATTAAAAGGGAATGAAATAAAGGAGAATAATAAAATAAAAAATAAAATAAAAAATAAAAATAAAAATAAAAACCCCAAAATAAAATAAAACCGAACGAAATAAAATTAAAATTAACAAACTACAGAAGAAAGAATAACAAAAAATTCAGGGGAGGGCAGCGGGGCGGCTGTCAAGTTCTTCCCCCTCTTCTCTCCGGAACCTCGACGACGGCAGGGAAAAAACGATGCCCCCCCCAAGAATAATCCAAACCACCCCCGAGAAATAATAATAGCAACAATAAGACGAAAGCCCCCTCGGAAGGACCCTCCGGTGCTGGCGGAGCGGCCCGGGAGCGGCCCGGGAGCGGCGGCCGCGCTGCTGTCGGGCTCTGCGGCAGCGGACGGTGCGGCGGGAGGGCTGCATGAACCCCCCCGTGCAACCGGCAGCCCCGGTGCCTCGCTGTGCTCCGCCGCCGCCGCACCGCCACTCTCATGCTGTCCCCATCGCCAGCTTTGTCCCCCGCCTTAGTAATTCGCGCATCCTTATTCAGATTTGGTGACGCCGAGCGCCGCGTCAGCCGCGATGCGGCCAATGGGAGGGCGGTCACCATGGTAACATCTTAATTTATAGCATATCTAAATTGGCTCCGGCCTCGCGCTTGGCACAGAGGGAAAAAAACAACGCGCCTCTATTGTTGAGGGTGCCTTGTACCTGGGCCGAGAAGTGAGTACGCACCTGGCTGGGGGGCCGGGGGGGCGAGCCCAAAAAGCGCCGGCCCGCCGTTTTTCCTTTCGTTTTTATTTTAATTTGCAGAGTTTCTTTTCAAGGGATGCTCGGGGAGGAGTTGGGGGGTCCCGAGTGGCTCATGGCGAGAGCCTCACCTGGTTTCGGGCGGTTTATGTTTGTTTGGGGCAAGGGGGAGAGAAGAGAGGTTTTGTCCGCAGGAGCAACAAGTGGGGAAAAGAAGAGGGGGGATTTATTTGGGAGGGGGGAGGGGTTGGTGGGGATGGGGAGGAGGCCGGGGGCTCCTTCCCGCAGCGGAGAGGGATGAAAAGTTCCCCCGGAGGTATGCGGCCCCCCCGAGCCCCCCGGGCTTTGTCCCCCGGGCCCGCCGCCCCCTCGGCCCTTCCCCACCGCCGGGGGTCCCCTCCCACACTGAGATTTCTCTTTAATTGCAGGTGCGGCGGAGCTGAGACCCCGCGGGAGGGACCCCGGCTCCGGGCTGGGCTCGGGGGGTTTGGGGAGGAACATCCAGCCTGGGGCCGGCAGTGCGCGGAGGAGGAGGAGGAGGAGGAGGAAAGTGGTGGGGCAGGTGAAGGCCGAACCTTTCTTCACATTCCCCGCCGTTTCCTCTAGCCAAAATTCCTGTATTTTTATATAAAAAAATTATATTTTAAAAAAAAATTATTTTCCCTAGCTCCGGCCCGAAATAACCCGTGGTTGTGGAGCGTCCTGGTGCTGGGAAATGCTCCTGGTAGTGGCAAAAAAAACCCCAAACAACAACAACAAAAATACCCCAGAAAAGCCCCACATCAAAATTCCAACAAATCCTTCACGGCACGAGGGCATCGGCGGGATGTGGAGCAGGTTTTGTGTGTAGGGATGTGCGCGGAGAGAGAGAGAATCGAAATAAGAAAATACACAGAGAGAAGAGATTCGGGGAGGAAAAATAAAAGAGAAGGAGAAAGGGAAATAAAAGGAAAAGCACAGGAGGAAAAGGAGAAAATGTATACAGGAAAAAAAAAGAAATAGAGAAAGGGAAAGGAAAAGAGAGGGAGAATGAGGAAAAATAAATTAACGGAAACGAAAAAGGAAGGAACTAAGAAGAGACAGAGGAAAATCACAGAAAAACGAAGGAAAAAAAAAGGAGAAAGGCAAAGAAGCAAATAAAGAAGGAATAAAGGAACGAAAGAAACAAAATACGCAGAAATAATGAAGGCAAGGAAGAAGATGGGAAAAAATGAAGGAAAAAAAGAAGGGGAAAGGAAAAATAAACGGAGGGGAAAAAATAAAAAGAAAGAACGGCTAGAATAGAAAAGAATGGAAACCAAAGGGGAAGGGCGAAGGAAAAGCTCCAGAGCGAGGGAACAAGGAAGAGGAGGAGGAAGAAAAGAAAACAAAGACAGAAGGAAAAAAGGCCAGGGAAGAGAGAAGAAAGGAAATGAAAACTGCAGCGAGCTAAAAAGGGGAGAACGGGCAAGAGAGGCGAAGGCACGGGAATGTGGAGGAGGAGGGAGCGGAGCCGCGGCCGAGTTTGCGGGATTCCCTGGGCGCTCCTGAGGAATTTGGGAGCCCCGGAGCGGTGCGGGGTGTGCGGGGATGTGCGGGATTTGCGGAGATGTTCGGGGTGTGCGGGGATGTTGGGGATTTTCGGGATGTGCGGGGATGTGCGGGGATGTTTGGGATGTTCGGGGTGTGCGGGGATGTTCGGGGTGTGCGGGATGTTCGGGGTGTGCGGGATGTTCGGGATGTTCGGGGTGTGCGGGGATGTTCGGGGTGTTCGGGGATGTTCGGGGTGTGCGGGGATGTTCGGGGATGTTCGGGGTGTGCGGACCCGCTCCCAGCGCAGCCTTCAGGGATTTCGGGGCAGGATCCAGCACGGAGCGGGGTCAGGCACCGGGAGCACCGGGCGGAGAAAGGCGGGATGCGGAGGGGCTGCGGAGGGGCTGAGCTCACCCGGCAGCGGCTGAGGCACCGCGGGCCGCTCAGCGAGGCTACTCGCGCCCTATGGATAAACCTATGGATAATTCTGGCTGGACGCACAGCCCGTGCTGGATGCGGGAGCGGCACCCGCGCTCCTCTCCCGCGGCCTCGCACACCCCCGTGGGTCCCCTCCCCGCCACCGACCCCCATCCCTGCTCCCCACAGCCCTCCGCTCCCTTTTTCGTTTGAAAGTCAAGGAATAAATAAATCCAAGGGGAAAGGGAGGAGGGGGAAAAAAACCACCCCGAGCCCTAAGAAACTCCCCCCAGCCGCATTCCCCCATGGTAACAGATGGTAATTCAGGGCCCACAAGACCGCCTATATGTAACTAATAAACCTTTTGTGTTTTAACAGGGTAATGCGTGGAGAAGCAGCGTCGCTTATACAAGATGTTGATGGAATTTACTATATTATTAAAGGAAAAAAAAAATCCCCTTTCAAGAATAAAGTGTATCAACTTACAACACAACAGACGGCAGAGGGATAAGTGAAACAGACAAAAGACAAACAAGATAATAATCTGTTTCCAATCAGTTAAGCCCTGTAGAATTTGTAATACGCGGTTTGCATATTCCCCCTGTGTTTTGTAATTAATTATCTATCTGTTCGGATGCTCCGCCGCCGACTCTGTAGATATTCCCAACTATTTTTGGGGGTTGTAGGCGCCGGGGAAGGAGCGCGGAGCGGGGCCGGGCTCCGCGGCTCCGGCCGGCCCGAGGATGCCGAGCCGGGCACGGGGGGAGGCGGCGGCTCCTCCGGCCGGCCGAGGCTGCTCCCCCCGCGCTCCCCTCCTTTCCCCTGCTAAGAGGGGGGACGGGGCAGGTTTTAACATTAAACAAACCCAGCAAGCATCTCCTCGCCGGGCCATAGGCGTTTCTGAGTGACTGCGTTACAAATTGTAAATTTAAATAGCTCACAGGATTCATTACCTCCCGCGTCTGATTTCACCCAGCCGTGAAAAATTGTCCTGGTGTACCACTGAGAAAGGGTTTGCTGCAAAGAGCCACAGTCTAATCACCAGCTTTCTCTCGCCAACAAAAGTGTAATTATTTTGTTTTGGGTGTAAATATAACCCACGGTACAAAAAAAAGGAAAAAAAAAAAAGATAAACCTCCAGCAGCGTCTGAATGCATTATAGGGCTGTTTAAAAAGATCCGTCCTAAATTAATACCAAGGTTAAAAGGGGAAGGCAGCTGGGACATGGAAATTTCCGTATTATTGGGGCGGGGGGGGGGACACGAGGTGAGTGTGAGTGTGAGTGTGAGTGTGAACGCGCAGAGCGGGCGGACAATGCGGCCCCCCCGGCCCGCACAAAGCCCCACGCAGCCCCCACGCAGCCCCCACGCCGCCAGCCGGGCCCCCCACCCGCGGCTCCTTCTCCTCCTCCTCCCCACCCGAGGAAGGTGCGGGGCACAGGGGATGCCCCGGGGGGTGTGAAAAGGAAAAACAAACAAACCAATCCCTCCAGCCGCAGCGCAGCCCAAATAGAAACCAACAACTGGGGGGGGTTTAATTCGGGTTTTTACCCTTTTCACTTCATTTTAACGAATTTTTGTTTCCTTTCCTCCGAGCTCCGGCACGGGGCTTCGGTGGAAGAAAAGGCACAAAACGAGCGGCGATGCCGGCGGCAGGGAGAAGCTCCGGGAGAGGCGGAGCGGCCGCGGGAACGGGTTCTGTTGAGGCCGTTTAACGGGGAATAAAGCGAAACAAACCCACACAAAAACCCCAAACAAACAAAAAAACAAAAAACCAAAAAAAAAAACCAAAAAAAAAAAAAAAAAAGGAAAAAAAGGAGAATAAATTGCAAACCGAAGTGAGGATAAAAAAAATCTCGAGCGGGGGCAGAGAAGCGGGTGCCACCGGCTGTCACGGAGCTCGGAGAGCCGTCGGTGCGAGCTCGGTGCGCGGTGCTGTCCCCAGAGCCCCCGAGACCCGCGGGACCCCGGCCGGCTCTGGGGGCATCCAGCACCGAGCGAGGCGCCGCTTTTCCTGCTCCCCTCGACCTTCCCACAGCCACTCCACAGCCATTTTAACCCATTTTAACCCATTTTAACCAGTCCTTTTTTTTTTTTTATCCTGCGGGTTGCGGTAATTGGCGAAGCTTTAATTGCACCCCTCGCCCTTCCTGGCTGCAGCGCGATCCCGGGATCCCCATTCCCACCGGGATCCGCATTCCCACCGCCCCGGCGGCTCCCGGGGCTCAGCAAAGCCCGGCCGTGAGCAGCAGCGAGCCGGAGACGGGCAGACCCGCACCTTGGGAAACTTAGTGACTTGAGGGGGACGCGGCAAAGAACTCGCTCCGAATTTCCTCGGCCGATCCCCGGCCCGCTCCGAGCCGCCGTCGATGCCGCCGCCCCCCCGGAGGAGCTGCTGGAGCCGTTCCCAGCCGCTCCCCCCGCCGCCTCCCCGCTAATGAGCGTGTGTGTTGACACGGCGAGGCGATGCCCCCGTTTGCTTTTGTTTGGGAGGTGTGAAAGAGGGAATCTGCATGAGAAAAGCCGGCGGCAACCGCGGAGCTCCGCGCGGCAGCGGCGGGACGGAGTGAACCGGTGCGTGGGGAGGTGGGGAGCCCGTCCTGGCGGGGCAGAAGCCCCCCGAGCGGGGGAGGGGGTTCGGGGGGCACAGGGGGGCAGGGCTGGAGCTGGGGAGCTGTTGGAAGGGAAGGGAGCTCGCCACGGAGCAGGGTACCCCCCAAAGCTGCCGGGGCGTGCGGTGACCCCCTGAGGCTGCGCCCCTCTGGGTGCTGCCCCCTCCCTTGGCATTATTTGGGCAATGGGAGGGGGCAGCGCTCGGCCGCACCTGAGGGGTGGGATGAGGGGAGAGCGGCGCTCCCACCTCGCTGGGCACGGGCACCGCGGGGCGACACGGGGGACACACGGGGGACACACGGGGGACACACGGGGGGGACACACGGAGGGACACACGGGGGACACACGGGGGGACAAACGGGGGGACACACGGGGGACACACGGGGGACAAACGGGGGGACACATGGGAGACACGGGGGGGACACACGGGGGGACACAGGGGGGACACACGGGGGACACATGGGGGACACATGGGGGACACACGGGGGACACACGGGGGTTGAGAGCACCCCGCAGCCCCGCGGAGCCAAGTGCGCCGGCAAGGGAGCGGAGCGGGGGCAGCTCCACGGGAGGGGCGAGGGGTGGTTTCCAGGGGGAAAGTGGAGCAGGAACGCCGCTCTTTGCCTTCCACGTCCCGCGTGGCACAGGATGTGACAGCGGTGCCTCCGGCAGGGCTGAGCCCCGCGGTGGAGAGCCCTGCTGGGATCGCGGCCCCGAGCAGCGCCCGGTCCCGCCGAGCCCTTCCCGGCCCCGGTCCCGCCGTGTCCCCGCGGGGTCCCGGTGTCCCGCCGGAGCTCTCCAGGGTGCTGAACCGCGCGGTCCTGCGGCCACCAGACGCGGCTGCCCCGCCACCCTGCTCTATTCTCCATCGCCTTCGTCCTCTCCACCTCGATCTGCCCGTCTTTGCTTTTATTTATTTTTCTTGGTTGGTTTTAATTTTTTCCTTTTTGTTTTCTCCCCTTTTAATTTTTTCCCCTGCTTTTCTCTATTTCTCTGTTTTGCCGTGTTTCTCTCTTTTATTTCTTTTTAATTTGTTGTTATTTTTCTTTTTCCACCTATTTCTCTCACATTTTTTCCTCTGCTTTTCTCATTTTATTTTTTTCTGTTTCTCTCCTTTTGTTTCCCCGCCGTTTTCCCTCATTTTCTTTTTTTTATTTGTCTCCTTTTCTTTTTCCTCCCTGAATTCTTTCTCTTTTCCTCTCTCGATTCTTCCTCCCTTTCTCTCTCCTCCTTTCTCTCTCTCCACACCCTCTGCTGTTTTATTTTTCGTTTCCCCCTCTCATTTCACACATTCCCTTCCGATCTCTCTGCCTCTCTCTGTTTTTCTCTCACTCCCCGTTTCTCTTCTCCCACAGAAAACCTCCTCGGACAGAAAAACTGGAAATTTTGCCAACACCGCCATAGAATATCAGACACCCCCTGCAATGCCCCCCAGTCCTTCATCCCGAGGGGAGGGGGCTGCGCTGCCCAGGACCCCAAATCCGCTGGGACAGGCGGGATCTCAGCGCGGGTTTTTTTTTATTTTATTTTTTTTTTCACTTTACAGCGGCTGCGATTAAACCCGACCCCCCAAAAAGCCGGTGCCAGCGCAGGAGGGGAAGTGCACGGTGACAACGAAGCGGCGAGCCCCGAGTGTCACAGAGCGGCGACGCTCGGCCGTTTGTGCCACCGCTGCTGTCCCTGCCCGCTCGCACATCAAAGCACAGCCAACAGAGCTGCCTGCGGGCTGTCCCCACCAGAGCCGGCCGGGACCCCCCGAGAAGAGCTGGGGGTGTCCCCCTGCCCGCCCCAGCGCTCTTTGTCTGCCTCATCCTCTCCCGCAGCTCCCTCCCCTTCACCCCGCGCATCCCCGCATTCCTCCACGCGTGTGCTCACACCCACGGGCCCCAAACCCTCTCTCGGGATCGCATCCCCGTGCCACGTTACACGCAGAAATGAGCCTTGCACACCCATCTCCTGGCCCTGCCTTCTCTGACGTACCAGGCTCCGGGGGAGCTGAGCCATCCCTCAGCCCCATTTTTTACAGCAGGGGATGGGGTTTGTCTCTCTCTGCACAGCTCGGAGGGCAGAGCCCTTTTTGGGGTGTCCTGGGAGCGGGGATGGGGCTGGGAGCTGGGCCCGGGGGTGCTGGGCAGGGATGGGAGAATTCCCCCATGGCCTCGGGGTATGGGAAGGATGCTCGGGACCTCTCTAACCTCATCGGCTGCCTAATGTGCACTTGTGCTGGCCGTGCTCCCACTGTCACTGTCACCCGCGCTGCTTTCTCGGCCCCGCATTCCCGTCTCTCCATCCCCGCTTCCCTCTGCTGCCAAATTCTCGCTGGAAATGCACACCTGCCTCCCTTCATCGCAATCAGGAGCACGAGAACAGCTCCGCTTGCTCTGGTTGAGGGATTATCCCAAGGATATCTGAGTATTTTGGGTTTTCCAAGGTGTCTGGAAGACAGAGGATCCAGAAGCAAGGTGCTCTGTGGGGCTGTGCAGGGTTTAAAGGGGATCAGAGTCCCTGGGACTTGAGAAGCTGTTGGTTTCTTCCTTTTTTTTTTATTTTAATATTTCTGATAGGTTTTAATTTTTTTTTAATATCAAGAGGGAAAAAAAACCCCAACAACCAAAAAAAAAACCAAAACAGCAGGAGAAGAACACAGGTTTAGCTTTTCCATTGGAAGTAACTCCTCACAAAGGGAGATGGGGATAGCCACGGATCAGTCCAGCCTGGCTGAGTCCCAAAGCAGGGTCAGCCTTAACCCTTGCAGTGCCTGGGTGATGACAAAATCTCCTTTTCCCAAGCGCTGGGACAGATTGGACAATTGGAATAATCAGCACTGCTGGGACTTGTTGGGTGCTGTGCTGCTGTCCTGAATTCCCAAAAAGAAACGGGCTGCTTCCCATGAGGGCTCATATCAGCACGGCGGGGGAGTTTGGGCAGGGATTTTAGGCCAGGCTGGTGCTAATTGAGAGAAGATGAGGTGTCTGTGTGTATATATGTGAATGTGAAGGGGTTCCACACGTGCTCTAAACCCTCACAAAGCACCCAAACCTTCCCCTGACACCCCACAGCCACTCAGGTTTGTGGGGCTGGAGGGGGGAGCCTGTTCCTCCTGTGCCCCCACAGCCCCGAAGCAGCACCCAGAGAGGCCAAATTCCTTTTGCAGGGTCTCAACCTGAGCTGCACTTGAAAGCTGGGGGGGTTAAACCCAGCAGAGGCAGGCTCAGGTCTTTGGCTCACAGATTCTTTGTACAGCTCCTCCAGACTTCAGCAGGGACAGAGCTGGGAGCAGCCCCAGCCCTGGCTCTGAATTTCCTCGTGTTGGTGCACAAGGGGAGATTACCAGGGAGAGCAGAAGGCTGCACCCTGAACTCCTTGGGCACACCTCGTACATCTCCTCTCTTTGTTTTCCCTCACATCCCCATCCCAAACCCTGTGCAAGCCTTTGACTGCCTGCAAACCTGCAGTGGGACTGCTACAATTCCTTTATAATTCTCTTTTTTTTTTTTTTTTCCCTACAGAAACACAAGGGACAAACACAATAATTTCCAAGAAGCCAAAGCTTCCCTTTGGAGAAGCCAACAGGGACCTGCAGCAGAGTCCTGGTACGGTGTGTCAGTGACACTGATTCCATCTGACACCTGGGTGTCTCCAAAGCCATCACATTGTGTGCTGCAAATGTATATTAACATTAGTATGCATTGGCACAATATGGATCCATTATTCCAAACGCTTCTGAGGACTAGGTGCTGCGTAGGAGCAGCTGCTGCTTTTTAAGCCTCAGAGCATCAATAGATTCATAGATTTTAGGGCCAGAAGGGACCCCAGCGAGCCTGGAGCCTGACCTCCCACGGAGTGTGGGCTGGGGGTGATTTTTGTGTCCTGCCCCACAACCTGTGGGCAGGCAGGCAGCAGCCTCCCCTGCGGCCAGCTGAGGGTTGATGCCTCCCTCTGTAAATTTGTTCCCTTGTTTTAGCACTCTCCTCGTTAATCCTAAAAGGGCAGATTTTAATTTCAAAGCTCGGCTTGTGTAGGTCCAGCTTTCCACCCCTTGGATTGCCTCCTCTGTATAAGGAAACCCATTTTCTCGCTTTTGTTGAAGTAGCGGCGGTGTTGGAGAAAATAAAAAAAAAATCAATGTCCTGGAATGTTGTCTAGAAAAAGGATTGGTACTTCTTAAGGGTGGAAATGGTACCTGGCAAGTGTTCAAATTTTGGGTGATTCCCTGACTGTAAGCACTTCAGCTTTAGTCTTTGTTTAAAAAGAAATAAATCTGCATTTTGTAGAGAGGGGTGATGCTGGAGGACTTTGGGTTTATAGTGCTTCCAGAAAATGAAAGCAAAGAGAGAATGAAAACCCACTAAATCAATGAAATAAAAAGAGCTGAAAGTCCTATATTATGGTCACAACAATTCTTCACGTAAACACCTCCTGGGTGACAGCTGAAGATGGGTAATTATCGCTCAAACCACCTCTGATCCCCAAATCCCTGGCAAAAACCTCGCTGAAGAGTGAGCCAGGATCAGATGCTGAGTTTGCCTTCCTGCAGGGGTTTGTCCCTTTTGTTTTCCCCTCTGCCCCTCATTTTGGGGACAGCAGCTCTGTCCCCCATTGATGCCATCAGACTGGTGGTGCCAGCCCCAAAACACAGCGGGTCCCCAGCCTTCCCGAAAATCACCACGTGTGAGCCTGGATCCAAATTCATACCCAAATTTTAAAGCAGAAACCAGCTGAAAGTAGACATTTCCCAGGAACATCCCCCCGTGTCTACTGCTGGACACGTGGGAAGGGAATGATCAGTCGATGGGTTGGATTGGAAGGCATTATCCAACAGAAAAATAGGAATAATTTGGTGATCTTCAGTTTGTCCCTCATGAGAAGGGAGAGCTATGGGACAAGCTCAGCACTGAGGTGTCAGAAATCCAGATAGTGGAGGGATACAGGGATGGGACAAGTTCCCTGGGGTCACACAGGACTGGGGGAGCGCCTCAGGGCCGGGGGTGGGGGCTGAGCAGTGGCCTGGTGGCCCCAAGCTGAGGGATCTGTCCCTGCCCTTGCCTGGGCTGATTCCCAATTCCCTCCCCATGCAGGGCTGCTGCAGGATGGAGAGATGCCCCTGTGCCTTCCCAGGGAATGTCCTGGCTGAGCTCAGCAGTTTTTTGCCTCCTTTCTCTTTCTGAGGTTACGTGATGTCTCCGGCAGAAATTCCAAACGGACAGTGGGGGAGCAAATGGGACCCAACCCCATTTCATGCCTTCAGGTGAAGCTGGCAGGAGCAAGGTTTAGGACAAACTGTGCTTCTTGCAAGCAGTTATGTCCAGAATTTCTCGCTGCAGGATTGAGAGGAAACTGGGCAAGCTCTTAGGAGAGAAATTCGGGGTTTTTGGGAGGGTGTTAAGAACGCTGAGCCCCGGGAACATCCCGAGGAACTGTGATTTTGCCTCCTGGGAGCAGCAGACTGAGGGATGTCCTCTCCTCACTTGGGATGTGGCCATTCCTCTGTCCTGCAGAGATGGTTGTTGTTCTCCAGCTCAGTGTTTTCTCCTGATCTGAGAAGCAGAACTCCTCCTACCCCACCTGGCACGAGCAGCTTCCTCCTCGGCTGCTCAGCTGAATCCTGGTTTGCCTTTTCTCTTCCACTGCTCAGTTCATGTGGGAGCAGACACATCCCTCACCTCTCCCAGGTTCTGACAATGAGGAGAGGAAATGAAAAAAGATTATTTAGTATATTTTTTTTTTCCTCTGACGAGACGTTTCATGTAGGAAACGCTTTCAAAGAGGAGGCATGAATCATGCAACTACAGAAATTAGAGCTGGAAAAGACCTTTTAGGTCAGCCAGTCCATTTTCCTGTGAATGCAGAGAAGTTTCTGAGCACAGTTAGATTTTTTTCAAGGACTTTGTCCAGTCTAAACCAAGTTTAGCAAGAAAGCTTCAACTTAAATCCATTCCAAAGCAGCTGTAGCTGGAAGAGGGATGGTCTTCAGCTGAGTGTCATTTGGAGGCTCTGAAACTTTCAAGGGAAGTGTGAAGCTCTTTCCAGAGGAGAAGTTGCAGAGTGAGTGCCTGGAGCAGCCAGCAGGCCTTTGGCAGCTCATCTGGCTGGAAACCAGCCCCTTCCCACCCCTCCAAGCTGTGGGGGATTGCACGGGGGGGTTCCAGCGGCCTGAGAGCTGCGGGAGGGTGGCTGGGGGGTGATGGGCAGAGATCTGCTGTCACCACCACGGGAGGGGAGCCCAGGGCCCACATGGACACCCGTGGGGTCACCACAGAGCCCCAGCATGGGTCAGGCTGGAGAGGACCACAGTCAGGTCATCTGCTCCAAGCTCTGCTCCAGCAGGGTCATCCCAGAGCACAGGGCACAGGATTGTGCCCAGATGGTTCTGGAATATCCCCAGACTCCACAACCTCCCTGGGCAACCTGTTCCAGTGCCAAGAAAGAAGCTCTTGCTCATGTTCAGGTGGAACTTCCTGGTCACCAGTCCCTGCCTGTTCCTCTTGTCCTGGTGCTGGCACTTCCAGGAGGAGCCTGGTCCATGCTCCTGCTCCCCCCTTTCCCGCTGCCTTTTCGGGGCTCGGGGCTCTGCCACCATCCATGCTATGAACGGCCAAGCAACCATTCCCAGCCCAGCTCTGAATTCCGTATCCCAGGCCACCTTCTGAGCCGTGGAAAACCTCCCTGGAGGTCAAACTACAATTAACTAACAATGCAGCCGGAATTAAAGGGGAACAGATCCGCTCAGACATTTCATCTCCGGCTGGAGCCGCTTCCCACCCAGCCCGGAGGCTGAGCGCTCCCAGGCAGCTCCTCCTGCCTCCAGCCTCCGTGGGAGCCACGCGGGGACATCTCTGCCCCTCCCGGATCCTCTGGAAGCTCCATCCTTCTCTCCAGGGAAGAAAGAGAGTACCAGAAAAGCGGGGAAGGGGAGGTGAAACCATAATGATGTTGATGTTCAAAGGAAGATCCCCAGCCCGGGGATTTGCTGTTGACTTTTGGCTGTGTGAACTTTCCCTCAGTGACTCTGCAAATCCTTATATTTACCTTTTTTGGGGGTCGTTTTCAAAAGACACTTGCCTCTGAGCATGGGATGCAGGCAGGAAGGGCCTTTCTAATTAACCCAGGAGGGAGAGCATCCCCCTGGCCTGCTCCGACCCCGCACCGTTAGGGAAGGGGCAGGATTGCCAGAGCCCCCCTAGAAATGGTTCCTTAATCCGCCTCCCCAAAATCCCCGACCCCTGATCCGCGCACAGACAAGCATTTTAAAGAGACGGTGTCGCGATGTGCCACCTCCTTCTCATAAGTGGTCACCTGCCAGCTTCGACTGAAGGCGTAATTACCATCCTCGAGGCCTGATCCATCTTATTCCCCTTGAAGTCGATGAGGAAACCTCCCCGACTCTGCTGGAAGCGGTGTTAAGATTCCTTCCCCCCTCCCCATCTCTTTTCCCAGGATTTATCTCCTTGTGAGGCTGGAGATCTCGCCAGCTCCGAGGCTGGAGTGGCCGGGGATGGAAGGAGCTGCAGGGAGGCAGTGCCTCCGGGAGGGAGGGGGGAGAAAGAAGAGCAAACACAGGTCCATTAATCCGCAGTTAGTCTGCCTTTTTTGTTAGGAAGATGAACTTGATGAGTTAATTAAGCCACAGCCTGTAAAACCAGTTTATTTGCATAGCAAACTCCTGGGCCAGTGTGCTGTGAGCGGGCATAGACGTGCAGACAATTCCGGGGAAATTACAGCCTCATTAATATGCTAATCTGGTTGCAGGCCTGGAACGAGTTTTGGGTTTGCGGTGCTTTGGGGGGGGGTCGGGGGGGAGGGGTTGCTTAGCAACCCTTTCCTCCAGGTAACCCTTCTCTTCCTTGCCCTTGATATCCCCCAAGGATCGCCAGGGGAGGGGGCTCGGCGGGCAGAGAGATGAGACCAGGGGGGCTGCGGGATGGGGGGTGCGGGGCTGCCCTGCACGGTGCACACGCACCCCAAAAGGCCGGGGGGCTCCCCCTCTCCCCCTCTCTCCCCCTCTCCCCCTCTCCCCCTCTCCCCCTCTCCCCCTCCCCGGGCCGGCTGGATGCGGATGCGCAGCCGTGCCTGGCAAAGGCGAGGTGGGCAGCACCCGCAGCCCCCCAAACCCCCTCCCCCGGCCGTGCCCGCAGGGGCTGCTCCCCGCTGAGGCTCCCAGAGATCGGCAGTGAGCACCCCAATAACCTCCTGGCTCCCCTCGCCATCCCAGCCTGCCCTTCCCGTGTCCCCTGCCAGCCCCTGGCTGTCCCCTCTGCTCTCTGCTGTCCCACTCCCTGCTGCTGCTGGGGATGGGGGGCAGGGGTCCGAGGGGGGATGTTCTGCTGGAATATCGGGGCTGTGACACCTCCTCGGGCAGTGGCTCTGCCGTGAGGGTCAGGAGGACAAAGCTGTGAGAGCAGATGGAATCTGGGAAAGGCCCATGTCCTCCATCCCAAGGGATCACAGTCCTGCTCATCCTCAGCCCGTTCCTCCCAGCAATGCTCCTACTGCCAGGTCTCTGCTGACAGATAAGCAATGGGGATTCTCATATTCCGGTGTTTGCTCTCTGAGCACAGGCTTCACAGCCTTCCCTGGGTCACCAGACCCATCCTTTCTTGCTTGGGATTAGATTTTCCTCATCCATTCAAGGCTGCTTCCCTGGAAGCTCACCCATGGCTCTGGGATGAGCTGGGGCACTCCTGTGGCACCTGGCTGATGCCAAAGCAGTGTGACTTTCTCCCAAAGCCCAGTTCTGCACGTTTTTACCATGCAGAGGTGCTGTGCAGAGCTGTGCCAGCCCCAGCAGAGCTTTTCACCCAGCTGCTCTCCTCAGGCTGTTGTGTGGCTGTCGCCTGACAGACACCAAAGCTTTGTGATTCAGACCCAGCACCTGCAAAACTGCAAAACGGCAAAAAGGCCAGGCCAGGAGCCCTGGGGCTGATGGTGACATCTGGGAAAGGTCCACGCAGTGCTGTGCCTCCAGGACATTCCCTCAGCTGGAGTTTAGAACTCTGGAGGTGCATGTTCAGCTCCCTTGCTCTACCACCAAGCCTCAGGCCGGGTGAATCCACACCTGGCTGCAGGAGGAATTAAACCTAATTAAAGCCTAAAAAGCTTTGAGAGCCCTTAGCTGACCAAACCTGGCTCTTGTTCAGCGGGAGCAGCGCTGGGATGGGGGAGGTTTCCCCCTCTCCACAGGTTTGCCCTGTGATGCTTGGAAACATTCCCCAGCCCAAACACTTGAAGTGAGAACAAATGTGCCGGGCAGCAAGTTTTAATGTCAAACACTTCCCTGCCAAGAAGAAACTCTGACTTCTCAGGAGGAGGCAAATTCCCTGGCTCGCTGCTGGAGACACTGACATGTGGAAAGGAACTGCTGCCTTCCTACCTGGGGAGTCCCA